ATTATTTAATTGCTCCTTCCTCTCTTCCTTGGCATGTTGTGAAATTTCTGATAGTTGGATAATAAACCGTTTTATTGTAATTTGTCTTTTTAAATTATTTTGAGTCGATATTAAAATTTGGAAAAGGGGGGATACCTAAATCGGTAAAATACGCGAATTTCCTCCTACAACTTCGGTTGTTGTTCGGGGTACAGTTGAGGTTTTAACGAAGTTCAAGCGAATACATAATTAGCAAAAAAGAAAGTTGAAATAAAGTGATTAAACAAAAATTATTACAAATATCGTAAATAATAGTTCACAAATGCATATATAGAGATATTTTAGAAGGGGGGAAATGGTCTTCACAATTTGAAATTGATTGAACACACTGTGCTTGAATGCTCGTGTAAACATGCACTATCTATCGTAGGATAAATGTACTATGCCAAAAACCTTCGCGGGAGTGTATTAAAAAACTTTCCGAAGTTTTATGGCAATCGTACTATGCCACAAACCTTTGCCGGAGTATATTAAACAACTTCCCAAAGTTTCACGGCAATCGGATAAACGGTGTGGTAATGCATGAAGGACACACACACACACACACACATTCATTTTATATATATAGATAATAGAGCTACAGTAAATTAAACTAGCTTTATATTTGTCAAAAATTTCATAGGTTTTTTGTAGTTAGTTATCTTTAATTAAAGTTTGATATAAATTTTTGTGTGCTAATTATTGAATATTAGCTGTTGGATGGATGGCTGGGGATGATTAAGGCATCAGTTACCACTCTTGGGACCCAGGGTGGTAAGTGATGCATTATGCAAATGGGCAAAGAAACCCAGAATTTTTTAATGAATGGTCCTGGATATTTCAGATTCCAACTTCTCCACTGCAGGCTTGACCATATCCATGATGGATATGGTTAAAAGAGCCCTCTTAGTGCCCACAGGATGGAAAGAATTAAACAAAATTTACTACTACAAGTTGATCCCCCTATAACATGTTGATAATTCCGTTTTATATGAATTCCATGTTGTAGAAATTACTTAGATTTTACAAATACGTGAGCCGTTTACAGCCCGGCACACGTATTTGTAAAATCTAAGTGACTCGTACAACATGGAATTCATATAAAACGGAATTATCAACAGTGTTATAGGGGGTCGACTGTATATGATTTGTGATACTAATTCACTGTTTTGCATCTTGCACACATTTTTTTTATTTGATGCTATAATTCAACTTATCATTGCTTGCACTAATATTACCTTTAATTTTAGAAGATTAAAAAAAATAATAAAATACTGTATTAAATGAATAGGAAGCATGTTTCTCTAAAAATATAAATTCAATATTCTGAGATTTTCTTTCTGTAGTTTTGAATCTATTCTATTTAATATATTAAGTTAAAATTTATAGTTAAAACATAAAATGTTATTAATTGTTATTCATATTAGTTTAATACTTGACAGTATATCTTAAATAAATCAGTTTTAAAACTAAAAATCATGAAAAAAGTTTTAAATAAATATATGCATATGAATATCATAAATTGTATGTTTTAAATTATTAATTGTCATTTTTAAATACATTTGATAAAGAGTTGTCATTGATTTTATGCAGTAAATTTTTATTGCGTAGAGAAAAAATCAAAATTTCATTACATGAATTAGATAATTGATGATCAAAATAATTTTATTGTAGATAGGCATATTAAATCTTTTTAAAGCTTTTTTATGCTTTTGAACAACTAACTTAACAACACATGGTCTTAGAAGTTTAAATTTATAAATTTTTCAACTTAGCATTAACATTTGTTTTTAGACTGAAACGGATATGCCACCTCAGAATGCCGACAGTGACCCTGTAACTGATCCAGTAAGTTATTTTAAAATGATTTGTGTCATCTAAAATTATTCGCAAACAGTAATATTTATGAAAGAGCATTTTAGAAGATTTGATTTATTTCCATAAGCACATTTATTATTCATTTATGTTTTTATATTTTCCTTGCTAAGTATTAATTAACAACATTTATATTAAGTTATTCTCAGAGCTTTTAAATTTTTTTTTTCATATATTATTGCTCTTCTTAAGAGAACACACTGCTTTTTTTAGTTTATATAAGTTTAGTGTTAGTCTTCAAAAAAATTAGTATTATATGATTTAAAATTTTTAAATTCACCTGCTGTATTGCTTAGAAATTATATTTGGCATTTTTAGTTTGCTTCAATAGATTCATTGTTTTATTAATAGCATTTATGTTATGTTGAAAGCTAGATAATAGTTATTTAATACAATAATTTCATTAAGTCAACAATCCTCAGATAGTTTTTCTGTAACAACAGTTTTCTTCTTGGAAGTATTGTAACAAAATTAGTCAGATTCATAAATATTCAATGTTTATTTCATCTTAACTACTATAATTATTTGAAAAGATTGACATTTATAAGATTTTCACACTAAAGTGTTAATGAGAATAATAATTTAATTATTGAATTTTATGTACTAGATAACACTGATGATAAATTGTTGACTTGATGAATTGTTATGATATATACAGTACTTAATTACTGTATTATAAATTAAAAGAAAGAATAACATAAGTTTCAAGCATTAACAATATTTGGTATGTATTTGTAATAATTAGTAGTTGTATTTATAAATTTTTATGGCATATAAAATAACTAATTTTGCATTGATCAACTATTTTTTAATATTTTTTTAAAGGTTTAATCATAATAAGTAAAATTTATGTAAGTTTAGTTTTAACATAAAAGGTAGTAGCTACTATCTAATGTTTAGGCAATGTTTTTTAGTTCTTAATGCATAATTGAAACTGATATCATTGCTATATAAAATATAATTTAAATATAATACAAATTTCATATATATATTTCTCTCTTTAAAAGAAATTGTTATAACTGAATAATGTAACATAATAATAATATATTCTGTAGCTACATAAATATACTAGATCTTCTATTCTTCTCTAACTGCACTTGAAAACAGTCAAACCTCAAAAAACCTTTTAATATTCAGCCTTTTTTATTAACTCTTCTAACTCATTCAGTCAGTTGATTGACCTTCAGGAAAAAATTGAACGATTCCGATTTATACAGAAAGAAACTTGTCTTGGAATGAGTCAAGTTCAAAATACCCACAAGCGCAAATTTACAAACATCATTTACAATACTTCGGGCATAACAAAGTTCCAATACTTTTAATCCACGACAACAGGTCCATCGAAAAGACACCTTGCGATGAACTAACTCTGAAGTCATTTACAGTCCAACAAGACGAAACAATCTTTTGGGATAGCTTAGTCGAACTAAAGTCAAGCATGAGTTCGATTTATGCGTCCAAGGCGAACTCATACAAACATGAGTTCCATAGATGTATCCTAGGCAAACTGAATTTCCTGCCACAACTCAATCCTTTTATATGGATTGAAGCCGAATTGGATTCCACCAATCAGCGCTTAGCAGCGCTACAAGATGTCTGCCGATGGTCCGATGTCTCTCAACCAATCCACGGTCGAGTTTCCAAAAGTGGTCTGATTGCCGTTTCTATGGTGACAACCGTTGTTCGTCGAAAAGAATGGAAAAGTGTGGGAAATCGCATGACAGATGATTTTTATCCCGACAGAATGATTTTAAACTTTTAAATTTTCTATAATGTCTAGTGTGCAAGTATGTTATCAATACGTGAATAGATAATTATAATATACTAGCTTACCCGTCTCATTATAATAAAATTAAATTTACATTTTATTATTTTTATTGAAACTTATTATTATTATATTATTATTATTAATTTTCATTGGGAAAACATTTCAAAATGTCGTTTCAACTATTTATTTATTGGAGTGTTTGTGGATACACGATATTTTTTGTTTTTCCGTCTGGTGTGTACATTAATAAATCAGAAGGTTTTCCGAGGCATGAGCTGGCCACATACAGTTGTCCATGTGAGAAGCACGGATTCTCCAAATCTAACCCACACACTTGTAGAGATTGTCAGAAGTGCAATATTCTCCATTTTTATATATTTTTTTTTAATCCTTTACAATTTTAATTATTTAATTGTGCCTTCCTCTCTTCCTTGGCATGTTGTGAAATTTCTGATAGTTGGATAATAAACTGTTTTATTGTAATTTGTCATTCTAAATTATTTTGAGTTGATATTAAAATTTGGGAAAGGGGAGATCCCTAGATTGGTAAAATAGGCGAATTTCCTCCTACAACTTAGTTGTTGTTCGGGATACAGTTAAAGTTTTAACAAAGTTCGAGCGAATACGTAATTAGCAAAAAATAGTTGAAATAAAGTGATTAAACAAAAATTATTACAAATATCGTAAATAACAGTTCACAAATACATATGTAGAGATATTTTTTGGAGGGGGAAAATGGTCTTCACAATTTGAAATTGATCAAACTCATGATGAAATTCTCGTATACACATGCGCCATCTATTGTAGGATAAATGTACTATGCCAGAAACCTTCACAGGAGGGTATTAAAAACTTCCCAAAGTTTCATGGCAATCAGATGAACGGTGTGGTAATGCACAAAGGACAGACAGACATACATTCATTTTTATATATATATAGATATGGGATACAGACTTGTACAGACATACCCATACACTAAAAATACAGACAAAAAATAGAGTTAGAAGAGTTAATAAAAAAGGGTGCGTATTAAAAGGTTTTTTGAGGTTTGATGGCTATTCTACTTGTCATTATAATTGATAATTTAAATAGATTCTCTTTTATAATGATGGCAAATTGCAATAGTTTTGTCGTATATTCAGAATTGAAACAAGTTAGGAAAAAATGACAAATTGAGATATTTGTATATGTATTTTCAACAAAGCCCAATATTTTATAACAAAACCAAATGATTGCTGGATTCAAATTGTGCTACTTCATCACTATTATTAATAATTAAATATCGAGTAATTTGGGACTAGACATAGGCTTTAAGCATCACCTCTTATTAAATTAATATTTATTAAACAATTAGAATATTCTAGAGGAAAAAATATTAGCGATAAAGAAGTGCAATTTAAATCCAGCAGTTGTTTGATTTAATAATGGCATTTATAAAATAAAATTTTTTCTTTAATAAGAAATATTTGTGTAGAAGAAAATGGTGTTTGTGAAAAGTGTATTTATTATAAAATTTATTTTATATTGCAATTATATTTTTTAAACATGAAATTTAAGTTTCTTTTGTTAATATAATCTGCATCTTTTGTATGCATGTATCTAAATAAAAAGTTTTCTAAAAATTGTAGACCAAATTACCTCAAATTACTTCATTAATTTATAATGTACATTTACAATAATTTATAAAAGAATTAATATTACTTATTTTGAATTTTGATATATTGTATATCATTTAAATACATGATATATAATATTAAAGCTATTCAGATTAACTAAAATTTGTTTCATTAAGTTTGGCATTATTTGCTTCAAAATTTTAATGCTTGAATAAAATGTGTGGTTTTTTTCTCTTAATGAAAATGCAATAACTTTTATATTCATTTTAAGTCATGTGAACATGTTATTAAACTAAAAATGTACTTTGTAAAAGTACAAAATAAAGATATATTATACAGAGTGAACCAAAAATTGGGAACACTTCAAAAATTCATATTGAAAATAATTTTGACATGCAATTTTTAAGAAACACTGAAAATGGCATAGAATTATTTTTAATTTGAAACATTATAAGCAAAGTATAATTACAATTTCTTCCAGTAAATGATGGTCATAGGTAATGAAATATGAAATAATTTTTGTAGTCCTGACTCATTTCTGCTATTGTTATGTCTCCCATTTCACACTTTCCTATCATTCCTTACTTTTCTTCCCTCTTCTCACTTCCTCTAAAACTCTTCATCCTTCCTTTTCAAAAGTTATGCGGTAAGGTTCAGCCTTCTAACAGTTTTAATCATATCATATCGTATATGTCTTTTTTTTTTTTTAACAGTTTAGTTGTCAACTCGACCTGCAGGACATATGGATCTCAGTCTCTGGAGAGTGAGGTCCATATGGCCCAAATTCTGCCACTCATTGGCAGAATTCATAACAAATATGCATAAAACATTTTTACTTCAAAAACATAAGTTTTCATTTGATTATTTCTGTGAAATTTTTCATATACAATGTCCTTCAGGATAATGATCCAAAATACACATAGAATGAATGTGATACAAAATAAACTGTTTCAGGGTATGTTTTTTGAAATTAAAAATATTTGTATTTTATAAACAATTTCTTAGTCTGGGAAATCAAAAAGACAGAAATATAACATTATGATTGTTTATTGATGGCTATTGATGTCAAAACATGTTTTAAATATTATTGAATATTCTCTGATTTCTATTTTATCAGAATTTTTATATATCTAACAGGACATGTTGATTAAACAACACGCATCTCAGAAAAAACCTTCAACCGATGCGAAATAAAAATTTAACACTACAAACGTTTTTAGATCCCTGCTGGGTCCTTCTTCAGGTAAAAAAAATCGTTTGAAATGTTACTAAATATGAAAAAACATTTGTTTGGAACGATATTTAAAAATCGGAAAGTTAGAACGGAATCATGTGATCAATAGCTCCAAACGTCAAAGCTTTACGTCATATCGACAGTTATTTAAATATTTTTCCTTTTTTTAAAGATTTTATGAAGATCTCTGTTGTTAAGCATAAAAACATATCACATAAACACAACTACCCCTTTACTTCTTTTTTTTTACGTTTACGATTCACTTAATCCTCCTGCTGTATCAGGGCCTGCCATGCCAAAGAGAGAGAGAGATCTCATTTCTGGAATTAATGGGTGACGAACTGCTGTATGCCCTGTACATGTCTATCTGCTACAACCATTTGAGATGGTCTAAATATGAGGAGGTGATAATTAACTTAGCATTTGAAAAGTCTGCTACTATCTCTGGATCAGATGTGTAAGTGGATAAGGAAGTGGAAAATTTATTATGTTGAATGTCACGCATGTGTTCTTTCAACCTGATCCCAACAGCACGTTTTGTTGAGCCTATGTAAATCAAGTCCCTGCCAAAAGGTCTGAAAACGTTTGTAGTGTTAAATTATTATTTCGCATCAGTTAAAGGTTTTTCTGAGGTACCTGTTGTTTAGTTAACTCCGATGTGCAGTTGGACATATTGATGTTACATCTTAGGTAAATTGATGAAAAATTAAATTTAAATAATTTTTTAAGGTAGTCTTATGTTTCAGGTATTTATCTTAAAGAAATTTTCTAACAAATATTTTGTTTGTACTGTGTTAGATTTCCAGGAAAGTATGCAATTGAATTCTTTTCTCATATTAATTAATTAATTCATTCAAATTCCTTAGATAGTTTTGATGGTTTTTTTAGTTCTTGTGTCAATGTTAACCTAGAATGGATGATACTAAATTTATTTCAATAACATTTTGATGTACTGTGTTTTAAATCAATAACAGTGAAGCTAAAGTTTGCTAATTGTGTTAGATGGTACTTTTTATTTGATTCTATTGTAGTTTGGAAGCAACTATAGTAAAATTAAATTAATTAAATAGGATAATTTCAACTGCAAAAATATTACAAAAGGACTAAAAGCTTTTGGAAAATAAACGTTCATATTGTTCAAATTAGTAGTTTCCATTTGAATTCTACAAAATTCAAATGGAAACAAGTTTATATTTTAGTTGTCACTTATTCATAAACTACACAACAAACTTTATAATCACTAATTAACGAAAATGTTAAATTGGACATTGGAATACTAAATATTTAATTTCATGTATTATTGAAGTAATTATATCTGACACTTGAGATTAGAAGGTAAAATTAGAAACAGAAATGATTAATTGGAAATATCTATTGGAACTTGTTTTGATGTGTTTTCTAGTTTCCAACAGTTATTCATTTTGATAGTATTTATATATATACTGTGTACTGTAAGGTCTCGTTTTATGCGGTGGATACGTTCTACAGAAAAGCGCATATAAAAAATTCGCATAAAAAAAGACTTTACTTGCCTTGAAAAAGTATGGATACGTTCCGTAATTTTCTAAAATCGCATAAAACCAAAACAACGAGTTAAAATTAACTTAAAACCGCATAAAAAAGTTTGCAGAAATTAAAAGAAATAGGCTGCTTAATAAATTACTTCGAATGTCTGAAAGAAATTCATATAAAAGCTTAAAATAAACTTGTATTCAAACTTAATTCAGTTTATTTTATTGAAAAGTAATATAGTTTTACATTTTTTAATCATTATCGCTATCTGATAATGGTTTGCACCGTTTGCGAAGTGGTTCCAAATCACCTTCATCATCAGAAGAGACTTGTCTTTGCAATAGATATTTGCGGTAAAGGCGATGGATTTTCACAAACTTCATTCTCGTTCTGCGTAGCTCTTTCTTTTCTGACAATGTAATCAGTAATTAAACTTTGCGATGACGATTCTACTAATTTACGGCCAGCTAGTGTTCACCCTACTTTAAACCCTTGTCCTCCCACGACGTCTATGAGAATGCCCCGGGAAATCCAACTCCAGATGTGTTCAAGGTCATCCAGATGTGTAAACAATGACTCATGGGCGTTAAATTTCACAGAAGGCCGAGACAAAGAAAGTTAAACTTTGAAGCTTTTTCTTCAAAATTAACGCATTTGTTTCATTTTTTCAGTTTTAAGTATTTTTTATGTTTAATTACATTTATATCAAAAATTGCTAGGAACTAAAGCGATTAAGGTAGATCTAGCTGTCCTTTACATCCATAAACATTATATGTCAGCGGAACAAATGGAGTGAGCTTTGAGCGTTCCACGATTTTTGGAGACTGTCTATATGCGGGCTTCCTAAACAAGCCTATATGTATGTTTGTCCAAGAAATTTTTGGATGAAATACAAACCGCACAACTTCAAAATCGCATAAAATTATTCCGCATAAAAAGAGACCTTACAGTATATAATTTTTTCCAAATACTTACACTAACACACATTCTTTAGTATATTACAAGTACATATTAATTTTTTATTTCAACGCAGATGATAAATGTTTCTAATTAGCTTAGAGGATTATGATTACGATGAATTTTTTGGTACGGAAGAACTCGAGGCAGTGCGATGGCTCGAAGTTGTTCCAGACAATGTATTTTTTGGGAATGGGTTTAAATTCGATTTGGAAGTATATAAATTTAATCGAACAATTTTAAATTTTTAACAGAAGTTAACGAGATCAGTAAAAATTAAGTAATTTAGTTATCTTAATTCTGACTTTGTTATTTACTGTTGACATTTTTAAATAAACAGGATATAAATTGCTAATTATAAAATGTTTGATAATTTGTAGATTTAAAAATATAAAATTCAAAACTTATTACCGTAATTCTATAATTAAACATATTTCCTGAAAGAAATATATTTAATCGCGCCTAAATGTATGTTTTCAGTTACTGTTAAAACTAAAAACTATTTTTAATGTAAATGTCGTGTTTGTCGGTTCTAAGTTGTTTCCTTCATAAAATAATAGTCAACAACAATTTTACCAGAAAATATTCATTTTACAGTTTTAATTGAATTTTATGGAACCGACCTACTTCAAAAGGCACCGTAATATAATCCATCTGTATATAAGTTGGCACATGGAACATTTTTCATTTTAGCAAAATCTGCTTTAATTTACCTAACTCTTAAGTTAAAAGTAACGTACTGTATTTTGTATTTAGTACGTAAGACTAGGGATTATCGTGGCAAGTAAATGACAGGAAAGAATTATGTAAATAGAAAAGCGATTTTATTTGAATTGTGTCGTCGTTATAGTTGCATGGAACGGATGAAATATTTACACCATAGATTTTGCGTGTGTAGAGTAGTGTTGAACTTGCAACGTTGTTTAATTTCAGGTGAGAAACACGGACAAAGAGAACGGGAACGAAGAGAGAGACGAGCCGGAAGGGAGTCGCAGTAGAAGTCGGAGTAGAAGTTGCAGTCACAGCGTGTCGCCCCGTCGCAGTCGCAGCCGCAGTCGCAGTGCCAGCAAAGAGGGGGAGGACGGAGTGAGCGGCGAAGAAGACGGGAGAAGCGTGCGAGGTAAAAGCCACAGCAGAAGTAGAAGTCGTTCGCGTTAAGAGACAGACACGCTGTCGGTGCTTCGTGTTAATGTTTATGGATAAAGTTTACACATTAAACATATCTGTCGAGTGCACAGTGAAACTATATATACATATAAACTTATACACATACATCCTAAACTTTCTTCGGTGTGCAGGAGTATAAACGAAACGACGTTAAATTTCTGCATCGGAACAATAGCCAAACGTTACGTTGTGCTGTGCATTAGGTGAGGTAGGAGTAAATGTTATTTCAGTTGGTAAAACGACCGAAGTAGATCGGCCGTTACGTTTTTTTATATAAATTATATAGAAAAAAACGAAATTGGAGAAATTATTCATTATTTCATTTGGAAAATATACGACGCATTGGAACATTAAGGAGGAAATTTCATTTGTCCCATTTCGCATTTTAAAAATTTCCATTAATCATAATTCTTCCATTCTCATGATAAACTTAATTTTCCATTATCGTGCGATTAAAAGTTTTTTATTAAAAATCTAATATTAATTTCGTCGTGCATGGTCGGAAAATTTAACCAACTAGAATATAAAATAAGACGTATTTACTATTACTTATTCTTTCGGTAGTGAGTTTCACAGTGCACAAATACACCAAAATTGCCAGTGTTTTCGACTTAATTTCCTGTTACATATGTGAAATTATCCTTGTAATTCATTTCATTTAATAAAATCATTCGATATATTAAAATTCTGTTTCATTTATCCCTGTTCGGTCATCTCCTCACCTCGTATTATTCGATATTAATTATGGAGAAAATTCGTGAATGAACCCATTACCACAAACAGAAAAAAATCGAATGCGTCCGCGAGTGGATTTATATTTTAACCAAAAACGTGTGTCTAGACCGAGCTGGCCACAAAACTCTTAAAATATTGTAGAAACTCGTATTTAGGCGGATTATCGGCCACCGTTTATGGGGTGCCGGACAAAGCCACGTCGTCTGGACAGTAATTAGGACCTCAAACTCGTTCTACTTATTGTGCCGAACGAACGCCGTTTTACATTTCACTTCTCGAAGTTCTTTCGCAATAACCGATCCGATCGAATCTTATTTTGAAGTAAGTGAAACTGCCCAAGCAGAAAATTTCTTTAAAAATTTAATTAGAAAATACTATTAGTAAAATGGTCACGGTTTTTTTTCCTCTACTCATACAATATGAAATGATTGTATGAGTAGGGCTGGCGGGCAATCTTTGATCTCGTTTAAGATATTTTCTCGGGTAACGTTCATCCGTATAAAGATACACAATCCAAAATATCGAGTAAATTAAAAAAACAGCACCTTAAACTGCCTACGGATGAACACGGTTCGGTTTAAAGGCACGGCGGCAATTTAATCCTTTACTTTTTCGGCCGTTATGTGTGTAACTCGGGGATGCATTGCAATCCTGTCAAATTCGACTTGGGATTATTGCAAATTTCGACGAAGATCGACACCGTCGACCCCAAAAAACAGGCCACGGAATATGTTTTTACGAAGGAAAAGGAAGCATCATTTGCAAAATATTTAGATTTAAGGTACGTGACGAAACAATCTTATTCGTATTTTCTGAACTTTTCCTATGAATCGAATTAAACAGACTTTTCTCTCGAGATATTTTTTAGAGACGTACAAACGTTTTCGGCGATTTCGATGACCTTCCGGTTGTACAGCTCTAGCGTAACAATTTCGAAAACAATTTTAAAAGTAATTATTTTAATTATCGGGAATCAGATTATTTACATAGATATTACGTTTTATTTTACATTAAGATACAAAGAGCATAACGCGAAGACATAGGGCAATTAAATTACAATAATATGTAAAACCAATTCTTTTAATGAAAAGATTTAAAATTTTATTCTAATACCAATATAGGTATATGGCCAAGATTACAATTACGGTTGCGACGCAAAGGCAATAGACGGCGACTTTTAATTTATTATTACTTCGGTTCGACCACTTGCCAATAATTTTCTATAAAAAGTAAATCGGTTGGTCAATAATAATATATCTTAAGAACATTAATAATCTTTCAGTGCGAACGAAACGAATCGTTACTTACTCCGTGACGTACTACTGAGATTTTCTTCTCTTTTGAGCAATTTTCCTGTTTAAAATTTAAATATATAAGTAAACAGTACTTATACGTAACAGGTAAAAAATACAAACTACATTAAACATGATGATTCGATAATTTAATCGATAGAATAAAATGTTTTCCTTATCGACGAGGTACTGGAAGATCATACAGTATTCGTCCATTTTTAGAAAATACCAAACTAACCGCCACTATTTTTTACGGCATTGTGTAATTTTTTAGGCGAATTTTCCTCTATTTTTAGGTTAAATCGTATAGAAAAGGGGTTAGCGAATTATTAAGCATATTTCTAGCCACGGCCGAATAATCGATTAATTTAAATTCCAACCTAATTGAAAGTCATACAGTATTACTTACCCCCAGCCACTTTCTTTCCGTTTGGGTAGATTGATGGCGATGTGTCACCTGCAAAATGAAAATAAAAAAGAATTCGTAAGATTTATTTACTACCAAAACTTACTTTATACGCTGCTTCTCAATGCCAATCAATCCTCGATTTTGTTCTGATACAAAACTAACGACTTGAGTAGCCCGTAAGGAAAATGCTTATAAAATGAAGAAATATTTCATAAAAATTAAATTGTAAGAGGTTTTCGGCTAATGGACATGGGAAATGTATTATATAAAAATTATTTTGTGTTTTTCACTGTTCTAAAAGTTAACTTTTATTATAAATTAAATTAAAAATTCTTTAAATACTGCTTAATAATCAAGAATTTGTATGTTATAATTTTTTTACTTCCGAAAACTTTGTTTTTATTATATTTTCTATTGTAATTGTTATAATTTAAAGGAAAGTTAAACGTTTTAGTAGAAAATTCCGAACAGTTTTATAAAAAGGGTACTTTTAACGCGTATTTCTGTCTGTAGAGTTAGGTATTTCTTATCGGGCAACCATTAATGCGCTAATTTTAATTAACATCGTACCAATTTAAGAGGAAATTTCTATGCAAACCTTATCGTTTGTTAAATACATACGAATAATACGAAACGGTGCCTATTACGGGGAGGTGGTACGATCCTAACCCGACTTATACAAAGCCCGAAAGCATTCCTTACAAATAATTATTCTCTTTCTTACGTATTGAGGAGAAACCACTTATTTATTGCCGTACAGATTTATTTAAAACTATAAAAGCGTTTACGTGGCCTTTCTCGTTACACAACTGACGAAAGCGTGACTTTTCTCCACCTTCCTCTACAGGTTCTACGGCTCTTCGGGCAAAATCGGTCGACTACAAATTCGCCAAAAGAGTGAAAATCGTTTGGCCATTTATAAAATAACGGAAAGAATCTTTCAAACCGAAATAAGGACTGCAACATTTCTGTCGACAGTTGCAAAGTTTAACGTTTGTTTTTCGTTTTTTACTACGGTTTTTCCTAGGTTCTGTCAGTAGTAATTATCAGTGCCGTAACTAGCCATTCCTGTGCCCTGTGCGGGAATTTGCATTTCGGCCCCTTAGTTAATTAGGTTTGGGAAAGTAATAAAACAAATACATGCATTTTGGGCCCCTCTTCCAAGTGGGCCCCGTGCGGGTGCACCTGTTGCACCTGTCTAGTTACGGCACTGGTAATTATCGCAATTATTTTCGAAATTTGATTTTTTAGCAGTAAATTCTTTAAAAGTTTACGTTAAAATATTTCAAGTTTACTAGGATAGGAATACGCAGGGGTAGAGATCGGGGAATTTTTCTGGCTTTTACCAGAGTCGAAAGGTAAGAACCGCCAACGGGAAACCAGGGACGATGGAAGAGGATGGTTGTCAAATATCGACTAGTTGCGTTTTGATAAATAAGAAACAAGTATCAAAATACTTGTATCAACGAAATATCAACGAATTGCTTAACTTTCCTGGCGACATTTAAAGTTTTAGTAACGCAATCTGTTATATTTTATTTTAAAACTTTTTATATTTTTAACTATTATAAAAGTTGCGCACGATATCCCCGGACGGCGAGTTGATTCCCGGACTATCCGGATGGATGGTAACACTATTCCGTGCTCATTTCAATCCGTCCGAGTCGTAGATGGACGAAAATATGAAATATAATGGTTCAAATTCTTACAAGATATTATTATTATTTATTGTGAAATTTTTCGCCCCCTAAAACGTAATTTTGCCGCCCCCTAAAAAGTGCCGCCCGGGGCGGGCCGGCCCCACTACGCTACGCTACTGCCCCCACACATACACTAACATTCATACATAAAGAAAGTACCCCGAATTTTTTCCATTTCTTGACCTTTCGAGGTGTTCTGACCCCAAAAATGTAAAAATCTTGGGGGTCATTTTCGACAGATGACCAAATTTCCCTCTATTATGTACATATAACAGAGGGAAAGTACTTAGGTATAGACCAGTGTTTCTCAACGGGGCAATATCGCCCCCATCTGGGCGTTTTTCCATATAGAAGGGGCGATTTGTAACATTTAATATTTTAGGGGCGAAAACGTCTCCTGTTCACGTCCGGTCAAACGAACTATTTTCAACGTTTCTGCAACGTTTACAATCGTTCTATAATCGAACCAATATTCGAATTTTATGTTCGAATTTAATTCGAACATAAAATTCTATAAAGTTCTATAATCGAACCAATATTCGAATTTTATGTTCGAATTTAATTCGAACATAAGCATTCGAAATAGAAAGCCACTTTTAACCTCTTTCAACCCCATATCTCCCGCACCCTTATAGCTATCGAGACGCAACCACCCCTATGCACGAATGGAGACTTGGGGCTACCACCACATACAAACACTATTCACGTGCGATGTGTAGTTTTGGCGGAAAAGTGAAATATAGGGACACACACGTCCATATACTATATATAGATAGATATAGATATAGAAATCGTACAATAATTAAACAAATAACATTATACTAGTCACTAGTTTATTCAATGCAGTACGAATTTGGCGTTAGCCTTGGCCCTCGGCATCGGAATTTTGAAGGGGGCGACGATTCGTTAGAGGTTGAGAAACACTGGTTTAGGCGAAACGTAGTTTTTCCGCCATGAAATAATTTTTGCTGTGACCGGATCAAATATTGTTTTCCCCTTCTTATCTAAATAGTGCTTTTGTTTCTTTAAGTACGCCACAAAATTAAAAATAGGGAATAGAATTACTAAGCGTTTGGAATAGATATAGATTAAGCATTATTAGAGCGAAACCTGTGTTATTGTTGTGTCCGTAACTACTTTATTTGTGAAAATGAATTTTTCCAGTTAAGTGTCGCGGCATTTCTTCCGAGTGCCTTTCTCAAACGGTGAAACTGTTAAATACAAAATATATTTTATATTCGAATAATATTCCACGAAAATGTATTTTATATTCTTTATTGAAATTTAAAAGGCTTGTTTCGATTTCTTCTCGAATTATTTTCCGTTGCCTTATTTCATTCACTAAACAATATTCGCCTTTGTGAAAATTGAACAACTTGCATTCCAGTGAAATTGTAATGTTCAATATGACTATACGTCATTATATTTTGCCACTTTAAAAAGTAAAGTAGAAGAAGGATATAATGACGTATAGTCATATTGAACATTACAACTTCACTTGATAAAAATTGTATAAGCCACGAATATAAAACAAGTTTTATTTTTTGTTGTTTTTTTTATGGAAATTGCATTCAAATTTTTATAATGTAATTAATATTTTAATACTAACTTAAAGACATTTTTATTTATAAATAGTTAAGTAGTCGCTTTTTAATGTAATGGAAGTTCGGATTATCATTTATGGTTATTTTATAGCTTGATATTGCTGTACACGCGAGTGTGTAAAAAACGATCGTTTCGTTTTTTCCACTCTCGTATTTCGGTTAAACATCGGTACAGAGATGCAGAATGAATGAATTTCCTAGTTTAAAATTCGGAAAAACCGTCTACTATGCTAGTATATAATTCAACAAACAATTCTACATTCTTACCAATTTACTAAAATATAGTGAAATGGTAAACACACTTATATGATAAATTGTTAAACGCGGGTAAACCTACATAACAATACGCTGAAATAATTTCAAAAAATATAAGTTAATTTAACAAACAGTAACTGCACTTGGGGAGGAAGTCAATCAAACCAGCGATATATCAGAGGGCGCAATATAACCGACATGTCTATTAAAATGTGTTTAAGTATAATATTTCTGATCTGGACATACTTTTTTGTGGGATGTATTTCCGACATTGTTAGTTTCAATACCAATTGATTGGAATAAGGTAATACTTCTTGTCCAGTAGAAATTGAATGACTAGCGATTTTTTTTTAATTTATTTTTAAAAATTCTGAAAGATATAATACTTACCGATGTCGATGCTACTTCCTTTGGAATAGTTTGATCGCCACTTGTCACCTATATTTATTGTTTACAATGAAAAAAAAAATTAGTTTCATCTGTTAATTTAATATTTCAATTTTATAATGACAAGAATCATTGGCAATATTTTAACAATACTCACTGTTTTAAATTTGTTTTATTTCATTGCGAAAAGTTATTTTAATGTACAGTACAATAGCCCTTCGTTATGTGGTGCACGTCGGAGTCAAACCAAATGAGCAATATCGTTTGTTTGCAAACCTGTCTTACGTATTTTTCGTCTCCGTGTCGAATTTTTTTGTGGGCTGTATTTTATTCAATAGTAGTTCCAATGCCAACGATTGGAATAAGGTAATATCTCCTTTCCAATAGAAGTTGAATGGCAATCAATGTTTAAAAAGTATTGGCCAAACCGATTTTATATTTGGAACACAATGTTTTGTGATATATCGGGATCGTCAACATAACGAGGGACTATTGTATATAAAATTTTATTTGTATATAAAATTGAAAAATATCATTAAAAGACTAATAACTAGATGTTCGAATGACTAAGTTTTCATTTCTCAGTTTTTCACTCGATTCGTGTATAACAGAGGATGTGAGGCCAGAGTCGGGGCCGAAGTCTGGAGGCACAGAGTCAGAAATTTCTGTAGAGCCAGTTCTGAAGTTAGAGCTAGTGAAAAAATGGATCTATGGCTTCAACTATTTTGGTCATTCACAATCGTGAGAGGGAAACATAATGCTATATGCTTTGGTGTTTAATTGCATAATTTTCATTTCACTTTTTGTTTTCTGTACTTATTTCTTAAAATATGTAAAATGTTTACTATTAGTTTAGCATTCTGATAAACCAGAGAAGCCGAAACCGGAGACGAATTTAGACTTTTTCAGTCTCCGCAGTCTTGGTCACACTTATTCCATTATTAACAACAGGTCGAGTTAAGGCTTAATGAAAATAATTATCTTTACTTTTGTTATATAACGGATTGAAAGAAAAAAACGATCTTAGCTGGGAATGTGTAAACCTTCTTTTCATAACTATCTGCATTCTATTCTTTTGCAGCTCGACTTGCACAAAAGTTTATAGTTAGCATTCAAATTTCGTCACTTGTTTAGGTCCCGGGAACCTTTATCTCCTATAACAACTGATCACGTGACCGATTTTCCCAACAAAAAGCTATAAAAGACGTTTCCTACCCCCTCTCGGGGGAGTCTCCTAACGAAGCCGGACCGAAGACATCGGATATCATCCGATAGTCGCGAACTTTTATATTTGTGCCAATTTCGATTACCCTAAAACACCACTTATTGGATTTCAGTGTGCTTAATTAATTTGAATCTTCGTAGAAACCTACAAAGAGGTATGAAAATCCGTGTGAACTCTCTCTCTCGAGATCTTAGGCGTGTTTAGCGTCGAGACTAGTGTTTGTAGTTTTTGTTAATCTTGTTTATTTTAATAAATTCTTGTTTTATTTGTTAAACGGTAGACTCCTTTACTCGTATACTGCCTACGCCTTATCGTCGACCCCGATTACTCTCCCTCCACTCGACCGACCCTCGGACCATAAACGTAAATTAGCCATCTTGACAAGTGGCTGGAAAGGGAGGTGCGACCGTCCCCGATTCCCTGGCGGTTCACATCTATTTAATTTAATAAACTTGTAAATGATATGATGTAATACTTACCGATATCGATGCCACTTCCGTTGGAATAGTTTGATTGTCACTTGCTTTGGAATAGTTTGATCGCCACTTTATTACGTTTCCAAAAAGATAAAAATAAAAAGTACTAAAATCACAATAAATTTTAACAAAATTCTATATTAAATGCTTTAATTAAACTTTTGTTGCATTTCTGTTAATGGAGCAATCAGAAAATAAAGAAAAAAACAATAATAAAATATGTCCCCAGTTGTTGTATTTCAAAAAGGATTTATTAGCATATAAAAAAGTCTTACCTCTTTTAAATCTTCTTTTAGTTTTGTTATTTCTTCTCTCATCTAAGAGAAATGTAAAATGTGGTATAAATATAATTTTTATTTTCTTTCAATTTGAAATCTATTAATAGCCTTATTAAACAGATGCGCTCTTAAGAGCGTTGGCATTACAACACGTTTTTACCAGTATTACAAACAACGAATGTGACAAATATCCGTTAATAATTCATTCGGGTGTGATGTTACACAAAGAAAAGTTTTATTCCAGGTGTAAATATTGGCCGGATGGCCAAGCGGCCAAGGTAGCAGCCTACAGCTCTGGGGGACCCGGGCTAGAATCCGAACGGGTCGAAAAATCCCCAGGAATTTTTCGGGGGTGGTCCGTTCGGATATGTCGGGCCCCGCCCCTCACCACTCGGCAGCCCCATTGTGGGCCTGGTCGAACCCATAATGGGCTTGCAAAAAGAGGCCCTCTTAGTGCCCACAGGCCGGAAAGAGTTAAAAAAAAGTGTAAATATATGGGAAAGTGAAATTCGATTTACGACGACTCGTTTAATAACTGCTTTGCTGGGAACCAATTAGCCTACATCGTAAACGAGGGAATTAAAAAATTGATATTTTATTTTAAACGAACTTCTCGTTCGTTTTACACGTAAAATTCAAAGTTTGAGATAGAATCGAGAGATTAGATAGGGATTATCTACCTGGGATCTAATCCTAACTATTTTCGATAATAACGAATTTTCGGTATCCAATAACAACGGGAGGCTAATGAAAATTATTGGAATACCAAAGCCCACTTTAAGGCCTAAGAGACCAACATACAATGTTGCGTGGTATTACTTCGAATATGCAAAGGAAGACTCCAAGAAGATCTCAACGGGTTTATCTGTGTAAATTAAGAGAAGTGCTTTAAACATCGGTGGACAAATGTATTTTTATTATATTTCAATAAACTTCTGTGAAATTCATTTTAAAAAATCTTAAAAAATTATTAAGAAACATTATTTGTGGAATCGTTCTTTTCCTTCAAATAGTGAACCGATACAAAAAATCCTCGAGATTATCTTAAATTTGCTCAAGAAGTATCGAGTAAATTTCAATAAATATCCGTCTTGTGGGAAATTCGTGATATACATTCGCGTTAATTAAGCATTCCCTAGAAATTTAATCAAAATGAAAAACGTATCGAGTTAAAAGATGTATATTCACTAAATAAGCCAAATAAAATGAAAGTTAAATAAATGAAAACTAATTATTCATTAATTTATTGTATAATAGGCTAAAATAGCTTATTATAAAATAAACTAAAATCCAAAGTTACTTTTTTCAGATAGACTATTCCTGGACAGACCAGTCATATTCTATTTCAAAAAGTAGTTTATCATAAAATGCTCTTATAAAAATTAATATTTTAGGAAATTTTTGTAAATTTATATATCGTATTAATACTTTCTTCACTGAAAATTATCACTGTAATCTGAATTTAATGTGATTCGAATTATACTTACTTTGAAAATTTTTGTATTTTGTTCCGATAAATATCTCATTAAGTGTGACGAATGTCGTTCGATTCTTTCGTGATTAATCATATTTATTTTTTCATCCTAAACAAAACAGTAATTAAGTCATGCTTTATGTCGTAATTCATCATTATACGTAGTGTTTCATAATGTAATAAAGAAGTTTGACATCTTATTGTTATTATGCAATTGAAGATACAGATTTAGAAAGATCCCGTGATAAAAGTGGTTTCGATGGATTTGGCTAAATCTTTAATTTGTGTAGTGGTCTCGATCCAAAGGCACAAAGTCGAGAAATGGACAATTTTCGAGTTATCGAGCTTCCAAAATTAAAAAAAAAAAAAATGGCGTAATTCGGCATCAATTGTAAAGCCCTAATTCATTTTAATTTCAAAATATAAAATAGTTTGTTCCAACAGAGTTTCTTTTCAACCGTTATCAAGTGTTGGGGAGACGGTCGGATGGCCGAGCGGTTAAGGTAGCAGCCTACCGTTCTGGGGGATCCGGGATCCAATCCGGACGGGTCGAAAAATCCCCAGGAATTTTTTGGGGGTGTTCCGTCCGGGTATGTTGGGCCCCGTCCCTCACCACCCGGCTGCCCCATTGGGGGCCTGTTTGAGCAAACCCATAATAGGGTTTGCTCAAAGAGGCCCTCCTAGTGCCCACAAGGCGGACAGAGTTAAAAACAAAGTATCAGGGAGTAAGTCTCTTCGGAGAAAGAATCCATACGCTACATAACCATGCACTATATCTAATAGCGCGGTATAAATCCAAACGCGCCGTTCGTGAATATCTCATATAAATAAACATTTAAAAAATGAATCCCGAAAAATATTAAATTTATTAGAGAATGAGAAAATTTATTAGAAAAAGAAAGAAAGAAAGAATTTTTTTCGACTCGTTAGACGAATCTAGTGTTATTAGTGGTTTCGATTAAATGTTTTTGTATTCTGTTGTACACCTGTAATTGTTTCTTTTTTTTTCGTTTTTGCTCGCATACTACTGTCTTTTTTTTATTTATTAATTTTCAGGGTTGCAATTTGATTAGGATAAACACAATACTAAAAATAAATATTTGTTAGTCTACTTATTTTTAGTCGTATAAAAATTGCAAATTTTGCAGATTCATATTTATGTACTTTAAATACTTTAAATTTTTTAAGTATATTAAATAACTTGTACAATTACTCAGTTTTGTATTTTATTAGCAAAAACTATTCAAAAATAAACAATAATGCTTTACATTTGAATTCAGAATTCCCCACCCTAGATTGCCAGATTTACACACTGTGCAGCGGGAGTATTGGGCTGATGTGTATTGCGTAATGAACGATGTCTCCACAAGGAAATTCAAATACCTTGTCGAACAGCATTAACGTTTGAAAACGTGTCATTTTTCCCGTGAAGACTTTCTATCAAGACGACAAGAATACAAAATATCAGAGATTCTGCCAAATCCACGAGGACTCATTTCTCAGAGAGTTCGTGCGGGCTTGTGTGAAGTATGTAGTAATACATCAAGTTCTGTAAGTAGAGTCAACTGCCGATTTAGTGGGGTAATGTAGGATTAACTGATCACGATATTTCGAATTCCATGGTAAATCCACAAATTACTTGAAAATAACTACGTGCACAATAACAGACAGTCTACTACCTTTCAGTGTGCTATAAGGAAACTAAACAAAGTAATATGCACAATACAATATGAAAAATATATAGCTTATTACTAATCACGAAGACTTTACTCACTTAAAAATTACACAATAGCGTTCTTAATAAAAATTAAAATTATAGTAATTAATCGTACATTAAATGAAGTAACATAACTATGAAAATTTTAAAATTATAGTACTGTAGATTAATATGAAATCGACACTTTATTAAATCTAATAACGATATTGTGTTGTATTGTTCTTGATAGTGCATGTTTAACGAACACTGGTGCATGCGCTCCTTCCGTCACCGACCACGGTCAGTTCTCAACCCGGTAAATCCGCCTCCGATAAATAGGGAGTATCTACACGTTTTCAATGTAGTGTCCGCTAGAGATTTGACACACATCCCAAAAAATTTGACTTCTTGTGTCAAGTCTTCATCGACTAATTCCTAACGATCTCTCCTCCGATCGTTTCTTAATTCCTTAGCCAATCTGGTTGAATTTTAGGACTATGCATACAGAGCTCGTAAATCTGTTCCACAGTTTCACCAAAAGATTCTCTTCCAGTGATTTTCTTTATGTAAAAATAGTTTCACTGAATGAGTTATACCATGTGTAAACAATTTTCTAGTTGGGACAGGCCTACTATATGTAAAAACCATACCGACCATAAGAACCAATCATTGCATTTTGAGTGCCTGACTATGAAACTCACTTTATGAAATTTTAACACTTTGTCTCAGTGAAACTTGCCATTTTCCGAGACACAACGTTATTGCTGCTGCTGGAAAAGTATGAACTACTTATACTGTTGGAAAGAAACTTGTAGTACGAAAGGATATTTCTCAGTAAACATTACTATTATCCTTTCGCTATTTTCATTACTATAATTTTCTGAACTTATTTACTGCATTATGAAACACCCTTATATCAGTAAAAGTTAATTCAATAAATCATCGAAATATTTTAAGGAAAAGAAAAACCTCACCTCGTAATGGCAATGTAGTAAACTATATTTACATTTCACTATTTTTCGATTACATGTATCGAGATGTCTCTTTAACTGGAACAAATGATAAAATATGGAAATGATCATCTTAAGATAGTGATTTAAAAGATTATTATTACCTCACATCTTTTCATTTTCATTTCGCAATATTCACAAGGAATTGAGATCATTCTGCATTGCTTTTCCTCATGGTCCTACAAAGAAAGATTAAAGATTATGAAAATGATATATTTAACTTATACTGGTAACTTTAATTCTATGGAATTGATGTTTAATGTTTAAATCAAGATTATATAAATATTATACAGGTCATAGGCAAAATGTTATGCATCGATAAGATGGCGTTAGAATCGATTGTAGATTTATTAGAGCGAATGTAACGACTTTGGTAATAAGTGATTTCAATATTATAGTAAAGTAATAATTTCATGTTAAATAATGGTATAATTTAAAGAAACCTTTAGTATCTTGCAGGACCATCTGTTTCCTCGATATATGTTGTGATACAGTCGGACAAGAATAGCAGGATGACCTTCTGCTTGTCATACTTGCAAGTGAAGTCCATCAGCGTTCTTGTGGACCAAAGAATGTTGAAACGCCAGATTAACGCCCTGTCAGAGCTATGAGTCTTATGAAAATTGATGGTCATGTTTGGAAACAACCTTACTCCCAGAACTGGAGACACTTTTCACAAACTTTCACATTTTCTTTGGTGGCTCAAGATTAATGCTTGAACACTAAAAGCATAGACGACCGCAGTCAACCGAGCCCCAGCCCGTGGCAACGCGAGCCACAAAAAACTTCCAACTTCCTGGTACAGTTGAAACAGTTTCCCATAAGGAAGACCGGGCTTTACACTTCCAGTAAAGGGGGCCATGGCGTGCGTGTCAAAGCCAATGAGGAGAGGAGTTGTACTCCTATTGCCAAACAGTTACCAATGGGAATCGTATTCCCGTCGCTAATTGTTATCTGCCACGATGAATGATAGACAAAACCTCTGCTACTCTCATCTGTCCTGCAGAACTGGAAATGGGAACACGTCCTAGTAAGGATGAGTGATAAATTAAAACCTTCTGGTGCTCCGAGACAGAAAATTGGCATTTCTGTACATATATTTTACATCATAATCTAATACTGTACTATCATCTAATCGTAGCTAAAGAATTATTCATAAATTATGATATACAACTGCAATGGTAAAATTGTTCTTTTTTTTTCAATTTTAGTATCCCGAGACTTAAAACTACTAAGCATGTACTGTACTTTACTTGCCTAGTGGTGATTCGGCGCTGGGTATCCAGTCTGTGAGATCTGAATAGCCCATGTGACTAATTAATAATTTAATTATAAAGTTAAATTTTTAGAGGAAAATATTCTTTAATTTTGGTGAGAAAATAGTTTTTTCTAAACGTGGGAAATTGATAAAAAGTCACTTCCTTCAACGGAAGTTGAAACATCCTTCTGTTTTACCCTTTTCTACCAAAAATCTCAGCACCCTGGAAATTGTCGACCCCTCGATAAATCCCCTTTTCCTCTGTTTACGTGAGAGAATCCAAAAAGCTGATTGGGGAAAAATCAAGAGAAATAGAAAGAGTTTTGCAGGATTCCGGGAGTACGCCACGAAATTCCATAGAAGGAAGACGTATTTCATATTGGCTCCCTAAGGCCAACGCCCTTAGTTGGGAGTACGTCAGAAGATCTCCTAGAAGACAGACGTATTCCATGTCATCTCTTGAAGGCCAACGCCCATAGTCGTATCCAGCATATTTTAATAATGAGTTTAAGTTAGAGAGAAATAAGAAGAAAATATATAAAAATGTGCCAGGCACGACCTATTCAAGAAAGAACTGAAGTCTCTCATTAAAGAACAGATGAAGATACAAAGCATCCAGAGGTAGTATGATTATAGTAGAAAATTGTGAGCTCTCTCTCTCTAAACATATCAGTTAATTATTCCATTGTATAATTTCTGTTTTTCTGTCTTATTAAATTTTTGTTGGTGTTTGTTAAAAGTATGTCTCTCAAGTGTATGAATCCAAACCTCTTCCCTCTACGAAGGAAACGCGTGTTAATCCGCGTCTCTAAATTTGATTAACTGGTGTCGGGAATCCTGATGAGGGAACGAGCGATTGTGAAATCCTCTAGTCCCGTTTGAAATTAACATTCAAACTGTAAATGAACTTATTTGTAAGTCCCTCCGCACTCGATTTTCTTTGAGTAGAAAAACCATCTCTGTCCGACAAACAGAGGGCTATTCTAAAGAATAGTTGCCGAATAAGTGATTCTACGGTCATAGTTACTCAGTACCCACGGCTAGCCCCTCACACAGTCATTTACGCGTTTTTCTGAATGGTACCGACAAAATTATATAACTGAAGTTCTAAATATATATTAGAACCTAATTTAGAAAACAAAATAATATTAATATTTCAAATTTTGTAATATTCCAGATGTGAAAAGATAGAATCAAAAGTAATGAAATAGCGTCCAAAACACTCAATATACATTATATTAAGTTAATATTACCTTAGGTCCGGTTCACTTAAGCGTTACTTAATAAATATTAGAATATAACTGCAGTGCCTCGAAGTTTTTTATTAATAATCGAAGCTTTTTATATCTTTTTATATCTGCTCATATATCGAAGTTTTTTATTAATAACTAAATGCCTATACTTAGAGACAAATGGAAATAACCTTGGCCGAGCTTAATTTGATTGTTTTGTTGCAATGTTTACAATCGATAAATCTGTGAATGCAATCACGAGAGAGGTGTAGAAGTAATTCTTCAGAAATCAAATCTTTTCCACATTCGAGTGGACAACATACGAGGGTTGTCTCGTCCTATAGAAAGAAAATATATTATTGATTCATTGTTTCATTTTCTGTAAATTCTATATAAACTTAAATAATACGAAAACTCACTTTTGAAGACTGTTTATCGGTGGTTTCATCGTAGTTTTCGGATTCGTTTAAAACGTTTTCTTCCGATTCGGAGGTGGGCGATTCATCATCATCTACCTAAAAACAAATTTTGTTTAACGAAGATTATGAAAACGAGAAAATTTGTTAACCTTAAAAATGAAACCTGTCGATAGCAAAAAATGGTTTGATGAACTGGACACTGAACCAATGATTCGGTGAGTCTCGATTTATCCAAACATTTGGCACAAAGTTCGCATCGACACGATGAACATAAGACCAGGCCCGGTAGTTTCGAGCATTTAGGATTTTCGCAGACTGGAACGTATGTCTAATAATTGAAAAAATTTCATTGTTTTATTGAAAAGTAAAACTTATTCTAAAAATATATAAATTTCTTAATTTTACTAAATGAATAAACTTATTTCAATTTCTTAGAGAAAATATAATAAAAATCATATAAATGTTATGTATACTCTATATATTGTAAATAAGATTTGTAGAAAAATGATTCAAGATCATAGTTTTAAAATTATTGATTAAGCAACTAAATACTGTGTTTATTAAAACGTTTATATGGTGGATTAACTATTGAGATTACGAATTTAAATTATTACATATGAATCAAACTGAAAGAAATCTACTTTATCACGTCGTTGCTGGACTTCCCTGCATTCTTTATTTTTCATTTCTACCTTTAAGTCTTCAGATATACTGTACATAAAATTACTGATACGAGTAATTAGTCGAAAAAAATGGGAGTCATTTAACTATTTAAAAAATATTACATTACCTTTACCACATCTTAAGCATATAAAAATCTTTCCGTCTAGTTTCCACGTAAATCACGATTAATAACACAAAAAATATTTATTTGAAGAAATTTCATAAAAGTTAGTTGTTTTTAAATTTTATCCCCGGTCTAGAATTGGGGAAATATCAATTTTTGAAACCATTTCATCAATAAATACACATTGAAAAAAGAACGAACTTGGTTTATTCTATCGCCAAGTTATATATATACAGTATATATATATAAAAGTTATAAAAAAAAGTCAATATTTAGAAGGGAAAACGATTTTTGAAAAAAATTCGAGAAAGATATATTTATTTTTGTAGTAAACTGAAAAGTTTTACGAACAAAAAACTGTCATAACTCAGAAGTTTTTAGATATGGTTCCATCCCCTTAATATCCCTCGAAACTATGGTCTGATTTTTTGATAATTTGCAGAAATATTTTCTCTAATACATAAACCTCCCTGCAAAATTTTGTAAATTGTCGACAAAAGGAACAGGAATGACTAAGCTTCAAATTGGGTTGAAAAAAATCACACACTATCATTCATACATACAGAAGAATTAACCCACTTTTTTCATTTCTAGAAGTTTCAAGATTCTCCAGTCCAAGAGATGTAAAAATTTTGAGGGAGATCATTTTTTGACCGATCGCCATACTATATTTTTATTATATCAAAGCCGAAAAAGCAAAAATGGAAAAATGTTTGTTTCCTCCAATTTTTATATAATTTAATTTGCGCAACTGAAAGTTGAAAAATTGCAAAAATTCAAATTGAAGACCTATAAATTCCCACTGTCGTCCGTCTGTCTTTCGTTAATCTCGAGAACGGAGTTAGATAAATGAAATCTGAGACAAGGCATGGAATGCTCAGTGAAAAGAGGTCCGATAAACTATATATGAATTATCGATTCAAACCGGAAGTTACGTTATTTCAATTCAAATCCTTTCCTCTAAAAGCAGTTAATAGATGACCTGCATGACTCTATTATTAAAGGAAAAGTATGATGTACTGCACGGTGGCAAGACACTACTAATTTCGGGTGGAAAGCATATATTTTAAATTAAATAAATTAAAAATATGATTTAAAATTGTGGCCTGGCATTGTGACCATGTCACAATAAATAAATGCTCGTTCTTTTTCCCTCTTCTTACTTTTTTGTTTCTATATTGTCTATTTGGACCTTGTTTATAAATAGGACTTATTATACTGGTGTAGTTTCTGATAAGCAAAAAGAAGTCTTAGTCAAAAGTCAAAACAAAGTATCGTTTTTTCACCCGAAACTACACCTGTATAATAGGTTCTGTTTATAAACAAGATCCAAGAAAACAATGTAGAAACAAAAACGTAAAAGTGAAAGCTTTGTTTATTATTTAACAGAAGTCTTCCCTTAACTTCATTAACTCGAAGTAATTAGGCTGCAATTTTCAAATTTCAGACGTAGATTTCTACTGTAGTCCGTCTGTCCGTCCTTTTTCAATCTCGAGAATATAGTTAGATAGATGAAAATCGAGAGCAGATATGGAAAGCTTAGAAACAGGAGGCCTCAATTACTACAATACAAACATCCGGTATGGACCGGAAGTCGCAGAATTTTTTAAATTGAAATATTATTAAAAATTGCAGCCCGATATTGCTACGACGTCACAATAATTAATTGCTCGTTCTTTATTCTTTATTCACGTAAATAGCTACATTTCGATGACAAATAATGTCACTTCTAAAGATAAAATAATATATTTCACATTTTACATAAAGTATGGTATAAATATCCGATTATCGTATCACTAATTAACTTTTACGACACTCTCCTTAATAATAATCGATAAGAGTTAAGATAAAATCAGAGAAATGAAGGGAAAATCAAAATGAATTAATTCATAAGTAACTTATAAAATGATAAAATGAAAAAATATTTGAAAGTATTACGAAACTTCATTACACGCGTACAATTAGAATAAGACTAATCACTTTTTAAGTTTGTACAAATGAATATTTATAATATATTTACCCGGGAACTTTCTAGCTGAGATGAAGTAGAACTCTCTTCCATATTACTGTTAAAGTACCAACAATCGAAGTAGAATTACAATGAAGAAGTATTTTTATCTTATCGGCGATGATAAGAAAGTCGTGTCGTTGTGAACTTTTGTCATAAAATAATATACGGAAGAATTTCCATTTTAAAAAGATAATTAATTTACATTATTAAATTGAAAAACTTTTCAACGTACAGTACTGTACATCTCGATGTAAAGTTAATCGATGGATTCGTAAACAAAAATGCAATTAAAATAATATTAATTATTTTGTTTTTGTATTTCACGGACAGCAATAACTTTTTATGCTTGTTTTTACTTTCCCATTTTATATAACAGAGGAAAAAGTATGGCCATGGATTAAGCATGATTTTGGACTCGGAGACCTTGAAACGTCGAGATGTGCAAACAAATTCGGGTGTTTTTCCTGTATGTACGAGTGTTAGTGTGTGTGGGATGACACGAAATCGTTCACCCTCTTCAAAATTTATCAAGTCTTGTACATTTTGTCGAAATTCTGCAGGGCGGTTTGCTTATTAGGGAGATCAACTTACGATAAATTGAATGTAGACCTATAATGGGAGCATGGACTATACACAGTTTACAGAAATTATTGCAAAAAACATAACAACATATTTTATTTGGAACTGGAGAACAAGGACTGGCAAATTTTGGTGGTTAAAGAAGGAAGAAAGAGGGGAGGATCGTGTTTCGTAATCGTGTTTCGTATCTCCAATAGGGTCGGACTTAATGACGATTTTACTCGTTATCAGCATTTATAATTTTTCACAAAGCCCATCCCTACCCTCAAAAATTAACCTTCTTGCCATTTTATAATGGTTAAAAATGTAAAAAATTTTTAAAATAAAATATCGTAATGGATGGCGCCACACGAAGTTTTTAATGTTGCCAGGAAAGTTAAGCTACTCGTTGCTGAATTTTTAAAAATAAGTTCAGGAGACAAGCGCGTAAAGTATGCTGGTGAATCTTTGCCTTATAGTATGAAAAGTTTGAGCTATGTAAAATACATATATATTACAAGAAATAGGCCCCGTTATCCTTCCTCCCCTCGTTACCACGGCAACGACAAGTCACTATTGCCCGGCAGTAAAGCTTTCCTCAGCGATTTTCCGGAAATAGTACGAGACTATTTCTGAGTATTGAGAGAAAGGTAAACTTTTCCGACAATGTCAAGAACGTTATCACCTCTTGACATTACCTTGTTGGAATTTTATTTATGTTTTATCCTTACAGAATGTCTCAAAAAGGTTTAAGCCTGGTACTCACATGCGGCAACGGACGACGGAAACGGTTGCCGTTCCGCTGTCTTTCCGTGTTGCGTGTACTCACATGCGGAAATTACCCTACAATTGAAACGCGCCATCTGCCTGCCGTAAATGTAAATAAGCTACTACAATAGGTAGGCCACGTGCCAGTAGTCGTAAATGGCGTCTACCGGGATTGCTTTGTTATATCAATTAATTTTAAGTTTGCCTTCGATCTTTTCGCAAATAAAATACCTCAAAAACGAATAATTTGGATAGGAAAAATATTCTAAATCGTCGAAAGTTAGGAATATCGAATACTTTCGTCGCCGAATTACGCTTACTCCATTCCCAATACTTTACGCAGTAAGTAAGTCTATCTGGCATTAATATTTAAATCGGATAGTAATATAACGTATAAATGAAATATATTAGTGTATTAGTCTACAAGTAAAGCTTTTTAGCTTGACGACCGCCATAGTTCGAATGCTATCTTCTCACGTGATCTTTATGGACATTGCTAAACGGCCTTCCTATTGGTCTAATTTTGCCGTTCCGCTTTCCGCGACGGCAAAAGTTGAAAATTTTCAACATCGTATTCCGTCGGCTTCGACAGCAAAAGTGATGTCATTTTGCCGTTCCGTCGACGGTTTCTGTCGTCCGTTGCCACATGTTAGTACCAGGCTTTATAACCTCAACGATAGGTAAATACAGTGGTGCCACGTACAGTACTTGGAATTTGATTCGTTTCAGGAGGCCGTTCGAACTCCAAATCGTTCAAAATTAGAATCAATTTGTCCCATTAGAAATAAAGGAAAGTCAAATAATCCGTTTCCGGACCCTAAACTATAACCACTTCGATAACCTTAAAATGGCGAATACACGTAATCTGAGGTAAAAATGACACAATTAAGTGACTTAATAATAAATTAAAAGACGAAAACAATAAATAAAACATGTAAATACTGTATAATGAAACGAAAATCGCTTTTACCGCTCGTACACCGTCGATTTAGGCATCTTAAACACGGCATACGTGTACCACTTTCACACTTCTTTTTTTCATGTACAATCTTTCTCTTTGACTTAGATGCTTTCATACATTTCTCGGATGCCACGGGTAATAAGCAAAGGTTACATTGGGTTGATAGAAAGTTTCCGTGTTTTGAACATCTGTCGTTACCAGGGTCGTGCCGAATAGTTTCGGCTTCTGAGGCAAACCTGACATCTGGCGTGTCTGATTCAACGTTAATTATACCATTTTATAATCACACACACACCAAAAAAAAAATTCTATGGATTTTTAATTCCACGGCTTATTTTGGTTCTTCCAAGGCGCCCGGGGCGCGTGGCCACCCACTTTTCCTTAGTTACTCCACCAGACGTTACTTAACATAGTTGCGTGATTTATTTAAATTATAACAGTTAAGAAATTTAACACATTATTCTAATGTGAGATTGCATTCATTGTTTAGAAGCTTATTTTAAACTTTTTATTTCATGTTTTATTTGAATGAAATCAAATCGAAAAAAACATATCGGGCATATTATGCTTTACGAGTTTCGGAATGGATATAACTCGGCACAAACAATAAAAGATTTATAATGCGTATGGAGAAAATGCACCTAAACTTCGAATGCGTCAAATGTGCTTTAAAAGTTCCGTTGGAAAAATTTTGAACTAAAAGAAACAATACGTCGGGAGCGTCCAAAAGCTATCACGAGGAAAAATTGAGGGAAGAAATTGTTAAAAATCCACGAATAACACACAATATATATAACACCGAACATAAAGCCAAGAAAGCTCGAGCTACAGACAAATTGAGCACTCAACACGCTTCGAGCGCATTTTTTCACTGCGCGTATAGTTAAAGCATCGTTCGAACTCCGATATAAAGTTTTGTCGAATTTGGTGTTCGAAGTACGAGGTAACAGTGTATCTTTTTAAGTATGAAACCTGTATTATTTAATTCCGTGTTTCTCAACGGGGGCGATATCGTCCCCATGTGGGCGTTTTTCCATGTTTCCATATTTTTTGTGAAGTTTAAGATATAAAAATTTCGATATTATTAGTGACTGCTAATAATATCGAATAGAAATTTAATAGCTGAACTTTTATTTAATATTTTCCTGTAAAGATTGAAATTTTACCATTAAAATGCGGAAGCATTCTTTATATACACATAGACTATTACTTTGAATAGTACGATAATGTCTATTTACTCCCCTTATAGCCATAAGATCATTCTATTAAAACTATATTGTAACGTACTGTAAAATTTAAATGAATATAAATAGATTAAATTAAAATCACAGAATGATTATTTATATAAAGATCTTTTGAATAAAACATTAATTTTTTAACACGAACAATTGCCATTTCTTCATTTATTACTTAAAAATTTAATGATCCCATTTGTTAATTAGTATTGCAAAACATTTTCGATAATTCTTTAAAAATTATTAGGTAATGTTTGATAAAATGCAGTCTCTATCAGCAATAAAGGGATAAATAATCAAAGATTCTTTTCTGGTTTTGGTTTTGTATTCTTATCGCCGTAAATAATACAAATAAATCATTTTTTTTCATTAAATTAGCTTGTGTTCTTTTGTATAACTGTTTTTATCAATTTATTTATATTTGCTTCTTTATGTATATTTATGTTTTTACATAAACAATAAAGTTTGTAAAAGATTAAATAATAAAAAACATTTTAATAATATATTATTAAATATATACGTATATATATCTGATACAGTATATAAGACAATTTAATGATAATGTTAAATCAATTTTTATTTAATGATATGATAACATTTTTATTGACTTAGCGATATCATTAAATCGATATAATTCACAGAATTGATAACAAGTTATTGTGTAATTCTAACGAAAACAAAACTTGTATAGCTGAGAAAACAATCAAATATTTTAATTTGACTTGGTTTATTAATTAAAAACATGATAAACGTACGTAGAAAAAATTTAGTAAGTAAAAAACCAGACAAACTACGTTTAAAACAAAATCTGTGTACCAATCAAAACTGATCAAACTACCAATGTGAGAAAAAACTTTATTGAAATAATTCAAAATAGTTGGGTATTGATAGAAACGATTAAAAACAGAAAAGGATGTATTGATGGAAGTTTTATTTGCAGGAAAATTTCATGAAAAAAAAAGACTTTCTTTAAAAGAAGTTTCAGATTTTTTGAGAAATATTCGAATGTTTCGTTAAATATTTCTATTTCGAATTTCAAAACAAATTTTTAGTAATTATATAAAATCAATTAATATTATTTAATTAAATGAAAATCTTTGGAGTCGCAATCATTTCTGTTAATGTGTTTTATTTATTGCTAGATAATTTTCTTTTGCAAATAATTCACTCTTTTCTCAGTTGGAAACAGTAATGATCTCAATTTATTATTTAAAACTGATGTTCAGTCATATCGAAAATCGTGTTTCTTTTAATTCCTGTTTTGCTTAATGAACACTTTATTATAGAGTACATCATTGTTCGCTTGGTGGCTTCTGTTGAGAAATCGCAACCCGAGTTTGGCTGGCCAATACAAAAATATTCTTCACTTTCCATTAACTAACATAATGTATGTAACAGACGAAATTGTGAGTAACTTTAAATTTAATAACTAAATAATAAGCGATATTGCTAAGTAAGTATAGTTTAAACTATTTTGATTCTAGCAGATAAGCCCGGCGTTGCTCGGGCAAAAAATAACGATAGCGAAAATTAAGATTATTACTTTATAGCCAATCTTACCCGTTTTCTCAGAATGCAAGAATTAGGTCGCCCTGTTTCCAGACTAATTAGAGAGTTTTTAGATGGGTATAGAAATATGTTCGATTTCCCGCAAAAACGCAAAAAACCGCATCTGCGCCTGTAAATCTTGCACGCCGCTTTCTCTTAATACTTCCATTGTTACTCAACACTTCCATTTTTAAGGAATACACTTCTTTCATTCCCACGTGGTCCCTACTAAATGTGGTATCCTACTAAAACGCAGTTAAAAACAAAAAATTGCATTTAAAATAGTACACTAGAAGCTGAGTTCTTTAGGATAAGCCTTAATCCTTTCTCTCTCCCCCGCAGGGAGAATTTCGAAAAATCCCTTTTTAGTGTATGTTCTTGTGTCGTACCTTAACTGTGTACCAAATTTCAACTTTCGAGTCTTAACCGTTTGGGCTTTGCGCTGATTATTATTATTATTATCAACCCATCTCGATTATATATATACAGTATATATATATATTAAAAACTTAATGTTGATGCGATTTCATAATGTAGAAGCTGATGATAACGACGACTGTGATTCGTTCTGCTGCAAATAATACGACAAAAAGTGGTGAGTGAGGGTAGGAAAACCTTAAATTTATACATACATTAAATTACAGAATTCAATTAGCTAATAAAGATTATTAAATAGATTGTTTTGAATGTTATCTTTAATATGTTTAAAAGTATATGAAAATATGAAATGAATAGAGAATTGATAAGTATATTAATTAAGTAATCTTTTATTTTAAGTACTTTAAGAGTCAATTTATCATTTTTGATGTAGGCGTATATTATGATAACCTTATGAATATTATCAAAATTATCTGAATACTTCAAGTTCTACAAGTCTTTCACCAAAATTGATTTAATTAATTTAATAAGTAATTGTTTTATCCATATTTTTATTTATAATTTAAATTATTTGATTTATCAGCTGTTTAGATAATAACAGTATTAATTATAACAGTATTATTATCTAAAGACTTCGTCACTTATTCAGCGATAAGATCCTTATGGAACCAATCATTTAAACTTTTAAAATTGATTAAAAATACTGATATCGATATTTAGTTTTTGTTTTTGATTTTGTGAGAAAATTCATATCCTGGTGAGTATAATCTTGCAACATTTTAAAGTAAAACCTATTCGGCTAATACGAATGCCTTTTATACTGTACGTTCGTAATGTAGAAATACATTTTAAACATATTCAGCCAAATATTTTGATATTTCTGTAACGTTAACTTGTTAAAATGTTATATGGAGTAAATTTATTATAGATTTCTTAAGATTTTAAATGTCACTACATTATTATAATTTAATTTATAATTTATTATAAAATGTGTAATGTCATTCTGCCGATTAGTATTGTCTTATAGGAAATTACTATTGGATAAATACGATATATGTTTGAATATTTTTCAGATATTTAGAATATATTTGTTGAGATAACTTGGCGAAGTTTTGTTTCAAATATGGCAGATCCTTCCAAAGCACCAGACAAAAATGAGCGGTAAGTTTTAATAAATATGTAATTATCAATTTTGATGATTATTCTTCAAAACAGAAATTTAAATGGCAAGTGTTTTTTAGTTTAAATAGTTTACAATAGTTGAGTGTTAAAATGGTTGAGTGTTATTATTCTGAAATTTCAAAAATCTTAGAAAAAATGATCTAGACATAAAATGTTGCGCATCAAGGAGGACACGAGATGGAACTGTCGATTTCATCGAAAGTGTTCTTATCGCTGACACCAATATCATATTGTGAAATGAAAACACTTAGGTATACATATTCGAAATATACATATTCGAATTATACTGAAGAAAATAGGTTATTTTATTTGTAACATTTTGGTCGAATAATGCACCTAGCAGAAATTATCAGCGTTGATATTTTTAGTTCAATAGTTATGCTCTGGCAAGTGTATCTGGCAGACCTGCCTCTGTATTTGTGTAATAATTAATAATAATAAAAATAGTAATATACTATCTTTATTGCACAAAAAACAATAAATAAATTTCTAATTTATTACAATGGCGTGTCTGTGCATGCACCGAGAAAAAAATTCGAAAATTAATACAAAAATAAAACAAGGTTATTGTTTTTTGTACAATAAAGACATTATTGACATTATTATTATTACTCAGATACAGAAGAAGCCACGGTCTGTCGGATACAAGTGCGAGAGCATAACTGATGAACTAAAAATAGTAATGTTCGTAGCTTCTGCTCGGCGCGTCATTCGACCAAAATGTTTCAAACAAAATATCTTATTTTCTCAGTAGAATTTGAATTTGTAATAAGAAACGGGGTTTTTAAAATTGGAAAGAATAGTGTCGTCTTCTGTCTCCCTCGATGCAGAACATTTTCTGTCTAAAACATTGTTTTTCGTAGGATGCACATTTTTCGAGATATTTTGAGTAATTAATTAAAATGAGACATCCCGTACATAAGAGTATATACCAGGGGTGGCCAACAGTTTTTGCCCCCGGGCCGGATTGGAAAGAAAACTTTTTCCACGGGCCAAACCAGAGGTTGCCCTAGGAAGATTTTGAGATGGTGCGAGATCTCATTGTGGTGTCACCCCGTAGAGAGTGAATTGTAGACAGAGATTACAGATACATTTCTTACATTATCATGCTTTATCATGTTTTGTAATGGAGGGATAAGATGTGGATTGATACATAACGATCAGGCATATTCCTTGGCGGAAAAATCGAACACAAACATCTAAAAATGAAAGTAAAAGTTAAATTGCGTCCTTTCTCGTTTCAATGAAGCGGAAGTGTTGGCGCACCAAAGAAGAAAACCCAATTAGTGGTCTTAAAAGCGGCTGCCGAATGGATTCGCTGTTTTGGTAGGCCGAATGAAAAGTATTTTTGTCTGCTTTGACAATAGAGCAGCTCTGTTATCGATGTCCAACAACCAGAACAGAAACCACGTTATTCAAGTTATTCACGCAATTGTTTAATCCAAAAAACGCAAAATATATGCTTTCAATTCTTTTGGATTAAGAGTCAATGTAAAATCTAGACAATGATCCAGCACACTTTCAGACAAAATCTGTAATTGATTACCAATTTGCTAATATTTCACAAAAATTTCAAATATTGATCAGTGGAGCTTTAGGTATACACTTTCTGAGAATTCAACGAACAGTTAAAATAATAAATACCGAAGTGTTTTTGTTTTCTGATGTTTACTCAAAGCTACAATTAAAACATAGAAACTCTGATTTTAAGTGGTTAATTACTTAAATTATATTTAAAAAGTAAACGCTTTTATAATAATTATATAGGGGAGATCGGGGCAACTTCGGCATGCGGGGCAAGTTTGTCAAGCGCTTTTTTTAAAAAAACAAATTAAAAGGAGACTTTGGTTATAGGTTAGGCAGTTGAGTTTTATTGGTGGCTTGTTGAGTGTAGTGTTTTTATTGTTCTCTTATCAAGCAAATTTTCATTTTCGTTCAATTCCATATAATATTTTTTTTCCATTTATATTGAATTGGCAGGTTTTGTTATAATTCCATGATAACGAAAGTTACTTTTCCTGTTAGAAGGATGTAACTTCAACTTATTCACGTGGCCAGATCGTGGCTTGGCATTCTGTTCTCAGGGTTGTACTTAATGTTTCGAAATCATGACTAGCGGGGTAAGATCGGCAACATAAAGCCACATTAGAAGCAAAGGATAAAAATCAAACAGATGATAAATGAAAACATGTTTGCATTTGTTATTCATGTATATATGTCTTTGAACTTGCATTTCGTTGTAATAATATTAAATGGGTGTTGGATTTGTATTTCTTTGTTTTAATAGTGAATTCCAACTTATACATTGTTAATAACATAATTTTATATACGTGCCTATCTTGCCCCATTACTGTTGCCCCTATACCAGGGGCAACTTTAATAAAAATAATTAAAATAATTACAACTTTACGAAAAGAGAGAAGTTGCCGATCTTGCCCCTATACCCGGGGCAACTTCGTCAATTTCTCTCTTCTTGTAAAGTTGTAATTATTTTAATTATTTTTATTTCCAAACTGATTTTAACCAGTTCTATAGTAAGGTAACATTCCAATAGACAATATGCAAAGCTTTTTTTTCAGTTTACAGCAGTATTTATTACACAAAATTTAAGTAAAGATTAACATGCCGATCTTGCCCCGATCTCCCCTATAATACAAAATAACAAAATAAAGGTAATTATAATGTACAGTATATGTTATTGAAAAGTGCATCAACCGTAATCATTCTAGACAGACTATGGTCTAACACACATATTGTGACGTTCTACGAACTTTACAGGGCTGGAAATATTTGATATTTTTTGAAATACAGTATCATGTTTTTCTGCATATATACTCGATATCAGTTCTGATTTCACTTTTTATTTTTATGCAAGAAATCTGCTTCTACTCAAATATTTCGTGTCGGCGTTAACGTCGACGTACAGTCAGGGCCTAATTTAGACCTTCCCGGGCCCTAGGCAAAATAATATTTACGGACTCCTTTACAAATTTTGTATTACTACAAATATAAATAAAATTGTAATATTTAAAATTAAAGTATTTTCATTTTTACATTTGAATATCTTACTTACCTTGTAATTTTGGGGCTACAATAAAATTATGAAGCAATAAACATTATATTTTTCTCAACAAACACTGCTTTATTCTGAACGTCACCGAACGCATCTAATTGGCATATACAAACATTATCTAATTCTCAGTGATGTTAGATGTCGGAGCAGTAGGTAATGTCATTCTTAATTATTAATTCTTGAATATGGCGCTAATAATATAGTAATTCGCATACTAATAAAACAATGGCACGTTTAGAACCTATTACGGGCTCCCAATTAATTACGGGTAATTTGGCACAAAGCAGTGCCTTGCCTGCTTTGTGCCAAATTAGGTCCTGCGTACAGTACATTAACTTTATTATACGTATTTGTCCAATGAACCGAACCAAAGTATTTTGCCAATGGCTAAATTTCATTTGAAAAATAACTTAACTTGTTTGAAAATGAAAACTTAAACGCATCTTAAAAGAATTAATTATAAAATTAAAGATATAGAAAATTAAATATAATAATGTAAAGCACATCAAAGTTTCATTATTATTTACAGAGATCAAAATCTGGCTCGACCCGAGGCTAATTCTATCCCCCAACAACCATCTCAGTTTACTCTGATCGAGGTAATTTCATTAGCATTTGTAATTATTTAAATGTTTTTTAAAAATGTTTCATATTTCATTGTAATTTTTAAAGCAACCCGATTCATTTGCCGAAGGAAATTGTGTTTGCACGTTAGTACATCCGCACGCCAGTTATTCTCGTTTCAGAACAGTTATATGTTCCAGTTGCAGAGCACCTTTCTCGATACAACCTTTAGCAGTAAGTTGTTTTTTTTTTCTTTCTTGAAATAACCAAGTCTAATCTTAATCAATTAAATATTAACATTTGCTAATGATAATGTATTAATGTTTTGAATGCGCGTAAACAAGCGAGTTTCTATCACGATAAAAAATATTTTATAACACTGCGGAAAACAATTTTCATGTTTTTGAAATTATTCCTACGTACGGTTCTTACAAGTTTTATGTAAAATTTAAAGCTTTTGTATCATTTTAATCGTTTCAACAAAATAAATACAGAATTTTAATTGAAAAACTTAATAATAATACAAAACTTTCGTTATATATTTACATATACAGTCGAACCCCCTATAACGCGGTAGATACGTTTCGCTTTATAAGAATTTCGCGTTGTAGGAATCCTTAAATACATGAGCCAATCACAGCCCGGCACGTGTGCAGTTTACGGAAAGGTTTTCTTCCATAAAATTAATCGATTCTAGACTAATTTGACTCAACATTTCCAAAACACGTATAATTTTTTGGGAATAATCCATATAAACTATGCTATAAACAAAAAATTGTAGGATTACTTACCGAGTGTGCACCGTTCGACGACGCCATTGCTTAAGCTTGTTTTCGTCGCGGAGCAGCTCACCAAATGGTGGGCGCGTTTTCTGATAATTTATTTTTCTGCGAAAAATTCGTTGAACTTTGGAGACATCATTAATATAAATAATTTTTATGGCCGTTGAATAAGAAATGTTTTTTTCACAAGAAATGTATAAAATTACAGTACTGTATTAGACTTACAGTACCTAATTTAGGTCTATATACTGTACAGACGATAGTAAACTCAACTTACCTGCCTAAACTCTCCGTAGCGTGTAAGTAGTTCGGCTGCTCGTCCACTATCGGTCCAAATTCGACCAATCCTGTCGCGACACGAGTCGGCGATGACGTTTTACCGCATTTTACGAGTCTCTTTTAGCGTCTTTATACGAATACTGTTGCAATTTTTTCGCCGCGATATACGAATCCGCATTATATGAACCCGCGTTATAGGGGATTTACTGTATATATATTTTATTTTTATTTTATTCCGAACTGATTATATCGTTCCATTGTTATATGTAGTGATTATGCCATACAAATATTTACACAATTCACGGTACACTATACAAACATACATTCAATACGGCGAATTATCACTTTTTACACCTAATTGACTGCATTATTTTAACACGTGTTATTTTAAATAAAATTAACAGATCGAAAGTTATTAAAATTTAACTAAAATTGCGATAATTTTTGATTTTATTGTTGTTACGTAATGCGCTGTCTTCTCTTATGATATCGAATTGCCATACGGAGTCTGGCATTTTTAATCAAAACGAACGTATAATTTACTATAGTTTTTAACATATTATTAAAATTATTCTTGTAAACATAGAAGAAAATAATTAAAATTAATTTTGGTAAGTCAGGCTTTAATTGTTGAAGATTCTGTAAAGTATGTTTGATAATTGGTCCATACTGTGGCTATAATTGGTTCCACGCATTCATTTATTTAGAAAGAGAATCATAGAATAAATGGAATCAATTTTTTAAAATTTTATATCTTTTAAACATTTTCTAATACAGTATGTCTTTTTTACAGATTCAGCAACGTTCCTTTACAGTCGTAAGTTGTAATTTTAAGACATAAAATATCATTTAATAATTTTCTATCGAATCATTTATAAGTGACAATTTATCACATCAGAACTCAAATAAAAAATTCATTGCTTACAAATGAACGTAGTAATAAATAAAGTAATAATCGACGTATTGTTTAAACTGCCTTCTTTTATTATTTAGGCAAGAAGTGATCCTTCATGTTGCCACAGAGGTAAATTTACTATTTCTACAAATGGATAAATTATTTTAAATTGAATTGTTTATTGTATTTGATTTTAGAAGATTTAACTAAACATTGTAAGAAGGCAAAAGAAAACGTGGCTGAAATTGAAAAAACAATAGCAGTTAGTATAGTAATTGACTTAAATATTTGACATAATTTTTTATAAATGTAATTTTATTGTATTTCAATGCTACGCACCACATGCGTATTTTTCTATAGGATAAAGTCACGGCTGATATCAATATGATAGTGACGTTACTCGTGACGTCGTAATAAAAAAATTTCGTTAATGTTAAAGATTTAAAGTCTGTAATTGATTTCTCTTTTTACGTTGGCCAGAACAAAAGTAAAATATGCAAAGTTTTTGTTTTATTCTCCTTAATGAATAAATTTTAAAAATAATATGATCGAGAGGAGGTCCAATTGTGTAAATATCAATAGTTATGTATAATTTATATATGTTATCGTGAAAGACCGAAATTAGAGAATGTCGATATTCTCCGATGAATGTCGACACGTACAAAATAGGCCTATGTCGGTGAAAGACCGAATATTTGGTTATATTGTACATTCGAACAATCGCCGGTGTATGTTGACAAGCACAGATAATCTCTGATGGAGGTCGAAACGACACCCGAGAAGCCGATGTCGACAGAAAGGCGACAGTCTGTCGCCAAATCCTTTGTTCTGCCGCGATTGAAATCACGTGGTATCTATTTGTTATACTCTGGAACACTGCTGTTTGTCAGTCTTATACAAGGTTTGCTGGTGCTTGCAACATTTTCTTAAATTTTATTATTTTTTTATCAGATACCCTAATTTATATTGAATGGATACTGCAGTGAACCAAGAACTTTTTTTGAAAAGTTACGTGCATTAATTGCAAGTAAATGAGAAGATAATTGTTTTTATTTTTCTCAAGAAAAGTAATCTAAAATACTTTCTGAAGTGATTTCTGCTAAAACTAAGCGCATTTGGATTACAGACGATTAAAACGTTTTGACGTTTTAAAAATTAATGATGAAGAGAAATTAACTGTACCATTAAAACAGGAGAAACACTTGATTACTATTACTGAAGGAAGCACCATTAAAACAACACTGAAGTATTATTAAAACAGGAGAAATACAGTATTATGTTACCAATGATAAATTGTTTAGTATACTATCTGGAACTCACAGCAAAATAGGCCATGGAGGAAGAACACGTATGCTTAAAGAATTGTAACTTAAATACAAAAATATTACATATGAAGTTGTAATGTTGTATTTAAATTTATGTAAACAATGTCAAATGAAACATAGTGCACCTAAAAAAGGTATTGTTGTGAAACCAATGGTCAGTTTAGAATTAAACTCAAGATGTCAAGTCGATCTGATAGACTAGTCACACAAGGATGGCGAATTTAAGTTCATAATGGTGTATCAAGATCATTTAACGAAATTTGTCCAGGTACTACCTTTGAAAACTAAGACAGCTGAAAAAGTAGCGTATCGCCTTAAAATATTTTTAACATTTGGTGCCCCAACTATATTGCATTCAGATAATGGTAGGGAATTCTGTAATCAAGTTATATCCGAATTATGCGCTATGTGGAAAGATGTTAAGATAGTTCACGGAAAGCCTTGTCATAGTCAAACAGAAGGCTTAGTTGAAAGGGCCAATCAGGATATACAGAATACGTTAACTGCATGGATGAACGCTAACGATACAAATAAATGGTCAGATGGTTTGCCTTTGTACAATTTGCCAAGAACATTACATATCACGAAGGAATACGCCAAAGTCCTTATGAAGCCATGTTTGGCGTTAAACCAAAAAGAGGCATAGCATTGTTATCTTTGCCTGGCGAACAAATAGCAAATATTGAAACCGAAGAACAGCTCGAAGAAATTGTTAATACTTTTGAAGGAAATGCGAGCAGTGGCCATAACGAATACCATATTCCAAAGGAAAATATTGAAGAGGAGCTGCAACCCACCACGTCTTCATGTCAAGCCCTGACTGAACAACACGAATTTATTCCTATAAAAAGAGCGGTCGCGAAAGAGAATCTTCTACTGCAAGAAACGAAAATGTTACAAACCTCAAAAAGAAAATTTCCTCCTCTCAAATTGGTGATATCTTACAAATACAAGTCCCTGATGTTGACCGTGGTCGTACAGATGCCCAAAATTTGTTGGCGGTAATTGTTGGAATAGAAGACTCCTACTTTTATAAATTAGCAAACAAAAAATGTACCCTCAAGCAGCTTTAAACCCGCAATCAGTTCGTAATTGGTAAAGAAAAGTTGCTTTCCATAGATGAGATTTCTTCTCAAGAAATATCGCTGAGAGAAGCAGCTGCAGATAATTCGAAAAGTGGAGGGCAAAGCTATACACGCTATCATTGCAAAAAGAAGTGCTCCACGAATAAATGCAATTGTAAAAGCAAGGGACTCTTGTGAAATTCAATGTCATAACTGTTTAAGTTGTTGCAATAAATAAGACTGTATAACGTTAATCACATAATATATGTGTAAGTTTACTATTGCGTATTATTTTTCTTTTCTGATTAAGAATGTACTGTTTCTTTTAGGTTCAACAGTTTATTTACATGTGCCGTTACTTAAGCTTTCTCATATTTTGACATATTAAAAAGTTGCATTTTTGTCTTAACGTAATAAAAATATTTTTATTCAACATTCACCATCAGTGCATGCTGAATGTCGACATTTGCCTGTGTAAGTGAGAAATAGTGATATTTAGCAAATATTTCGTACATACACGAAACGACTGTGTGAATGCTGACATTCACTGGAGAATCTCGACATTTGCCAGATATAGGTCTTTCACAGTAACATATATATAATAAAATGCACATATATATAATAGTTCCTTCTCTTAATCATATTCGGCGGTCCAACGGAAATACGAATAATTAATATATGTACCGTACATTGATTATTCGGTGCGCAATGCACCTTATGGATCGTTTTGATTAATCTCAAGATAATGTTATTTAAAACCAAAAATAAATATTTATTTGTATTGTAGTAATAATTATTTTTAGTTAAAAATTACAATTACAACAGAATTATTATTATATTGATATTTTATGGAATAAAATCAGATTTTCTAATTAATATGAAATTATTAACCATTATTGTGAATAGAAATTGAAGCGCAAAAACAACGACAACTGTGAAAAATTGCAAGAAGCTTTGGCTCAGCATGCAGTAAGTACAATAAGAAATAATATATGTTTACATTTCATATTAACAATATTCCAGTGTCAGATTCAATAATTTTAACATGTAAATTTTATTTCGTTGTTTGCTTAAAGATTGGTCGAAAGTTCTGTTTTCTAGTCTAGCAATGATTTCCATATGAACGATGATTAAATTAATGACTTATCCATTCTTTATTCCACTGTAAAAATTTTACTTTACTTTTTATCACGTTCAGTTTTGCATACTTAATTCGAAGATTTTAGTTTATTAAGTTAACTTTGTTTAAATAAAGATGGACTCATCGATAATATATACATGAATATATCGTGTCATAATGCAAGTAGTCAACTCTTAAATACATTGCATTAATGCTAATGTATTAGTATTCATTTATTATTATTTTATTATTTTTTACGAAATATTATTATATTAATAACAATTTATAATATAGGAATTAAGAAATAAAATTGAACGAATTCTTAGAGAATCTTCAGTAAGTGGACAATCTTATTATTTTATTATATGTATATATATATATAGGCCTATACGAACTCCATTTATATAGGAATTATTATGTAGGAATTAGAAAGAATGTATAGACGTTTGGAAGAACAAGTCGAACAAATCAAGAATTCAACAATGTAAATATTTATGTTTAATTTTATTTTATTTTCTGTTTCTTTCTTACTTATTCGTTATCTGTATTTTTAAAATATATTTTCAAGCCAACAAGGTATTGAAATTAGACAATTTTTGCTTTTAATGTAAATTTACTAAATTTACATTAATAAGTCTGAAATGTCTGGGCACAAGACATTTGAGGCTTTGGAATAGACACAAGAAAACAAACTTTTATTTAGCACAAACAAAACTGTAGGAATGCTTTTTACCTCTAAATATAAGTATTCGTTCCATCTCTTAAACTCAATAATGTGAATATTAATTGGGTCAGCACTCACAAATATTTGGGAACCTATCTTTACATTAAGTTACTACAGAAACCATCTAGAGTACATTTTGGCTCGTGTGAAATAATTTGCATTAGATGTGCAAAGTGTATCTGAGGCTTAACTTCTGCAGCTGTCTCAACTTTTATCAAAGGAGCTATCCAACCGCTAGTGTTTTATACAGCTTGTTGTTGGACTCATGTTTCCTACAAGTCTTCTATGCTTCTAAACTTCTTAGTGTGCAACATCTTTTTCTGTTGAAATAAGTTCGTTGCTGTAGAACTGTATCTACAGATGTTCTTCCTTGGCCCCTGGCCCTGCGGGCTAAGGTGCTCCTGTATTATATGAGGACAGGTTGCATCAGCACTTTCCACGAGCGTCTCCTTTGGAGAACTGGTATCAACTTTTTAACACTCAAGTGGGTTGTTCACAATGACTCTTTGCATCTAGTCGACTTCAACCTGTCTGATGTGTCTCTTGATCTTATTCCTGTTTCTTTGCCTGCTATTCTGAATGACGTTTACATCTTCACAGACGAGCATGTATACATCTTCCAAGTATGAGCATGGTGTCGGCTCAAGTGTTTGCGTATATACCCTTTTACATGAAAATCCTCGGCATATATTTAGGCAGCGTTACAACCAGGCTACCACTATATATATATATATATGGATTGCATCTAATACCTGATGGATTGCATCTAATTCTGCTTGATATATATATATATATATATATATCAAGCAGAATTAGATGCAATCCATCAGGTATTATATATATATATATATATATCAAGCAGAATTAGATGCAATCCATCAGGCAGTTCGATGGAGCTTGATACTTCCTTACCGTTTTTATAATTTATTTCAATTTTTGGTGACTCTAAAACTGCTTTGGCCTCTCTTATGAATATTGACTCTCGAAGTAGTCGGATTAGAAACATTCAAGAAACCGTAAGTTTAAGTTTGAAATGCTTCAAATTCTGAAATGAGATGACAGATGATGCGGCAAAAGATGCTTCTAAAAATGAAAACTTACTTCTGACTTTACAGCCTTATTCTCGTCAGGATATTCCTAGAATACCCTGACGATAATAATCTATGACAATCTTATCTCTGCATAGAATCAGACATGGACTTCTTTGACTAAAGGGATTGTCATCAAAATATTCTACTCAACAGTATATGATTTTCTCAAGCACCCAATTAAGAATTTTTCCTATTCCTTTTCTCATATTCTAACTAGACATGGTAATTTTAATTGCTATCTAGCTGCACATAATTTGGCCAGCAGTACCTTCTGCTCATGCGCAACGGGTAAAGTCGAAACTGTAAAGCATATAATTTACGATTGTCATATCTATGAAGTTGAACGCTTCAGGCTAATGCTGGAAGTTCTGTCCTTGGATATGGTTGGCCCTGTCCAGCTCACGTTCTTGTGTTCAATGAATTGTGTGCATATTTCGCTATTTTTATTAAGGATATCTTTAAGAAAAAACGGTTAATTGCTTATTCGAATTCCGGTTGTTAGCTAACCATGATCGATACCGTATGTGCATTGTTCACTTTCTTACTAATCTCTTGTCATGTATGTTTATGTATGTACTTACTGATTTAGTGTAATACTCATTTCAGAGGGGTGCACTTAATAAAAAGAAGCCTCAAATGTACATTTATTTCATTCCTAATTATGTTGACATCTTATAAGTAAATAATTTCTTACTATATTTTATGCCCGAAACCTACAGTTCAAGTAAATGCAAATGCATGTAAACATTTCTGTTATGCTGGGGTTACTTTGAACCAGCGTGGAGGTGGAGCAGAGGAGAACATGTTTTCTCATTGTGCTATTCCATGAGTGACTTTGGATTCTCTGTGGATGATTCCAAACTACGCTGCATTGTTCATGTTTATTTGGGTAGGACTGGGGGAATAGTGAAACAGTCTGTAAATAATCGACCAGGAAAACAATAATTGAGAGGTTTTTTTTAAAAAAAAAAAAACCACAACTAACGTTATGTTTTGCAGTAAACACAAATAAGGCTAGGGCGTCAATAACAAAGGAAACACAGATTTCATAGACAATTTAAAAGAAACTTTGTAATTATGATGAGATAAACCTAACTGATGACCCAGAATTCAAGACAGTTATAATTAAACAAGGTGTCAAGTATCCAGAAAATGTCCGCAAAGCCTCTAAGACAAGTATATCAAACATGATTGGAAAATCACATAATTTACTTTTGTATCTCTTTTATACATTTCTCGGATACTGTTAATAAATTACTACACTTATTTCAAAGTATGTTTTTGTGTACATTGCTCCTTGTCCATTCCTGGTTTTTTTATCAATATAATATTTAATAATTTTGATCAATATAATCAGTATAAACTTTAATGTCGCGAAAGTATCCTTTCTCTATGAGGATACTTGGCGCCGCATTTTTTCGTCTGTAAAAAGTAAAGTAAGAAAGCTGCAATACTGAATTTTGTATAATATTTCAGTACACACTTCAGAGTACTGTACATATGCAATAGAACACATTTAGAACTCGGATATAACAGATTGCAAAGACTTCTGAAGAAAAAATCAGTGCAAAGTACCCCCCATTTTACGGTACTGAATATTGTATTACTCGAGTACTATTATTTTCGATAGAAATAATTTTAACTGTAATTTATTCATTTCATTTTGTACAATTTATTGCATTTTTATTCTTTTATAATTGTGTTAATTTTTTATAATTGAACTGTCACGATGGTATTTAGCATTATTTTATTTTATTTGAAATTAGCTTTCTTTTGTCGTATACAAACACTTTGTAAAATAAGGAATAAATGTGTAAAGAGAATAGACTTGAAGTTACGAAACATTGTTTGGTAAATTCTAGATATTTGTATGCGATATTTTGAACAAATCGACTATTTTGACTTTATAATCTTTGGTCGCGCAAAATTTCAAATGAAATTCTTTCGAATGATAATTAAAATATCAATTCGAAACGCATTTGGATTACTTGTATAGGTAACGTTATACATTGACCATCGGCCGAAGAGGACTTCCTAAGGGAAACTGGTCCCTATTCAAGTGCTAACTTCCTTTCTTAGGACTAGGATAGTCTCGTAGCAAAACACTTGGAATATAAAATACCAATCGATGCTTTACGTTAATATTAGTAAAATCTAGTATAAAAATTTCTTGATTCTGAAATATTATTTTTCAGTTTTAATCTAAGCATTTACAAATTTATTGTTACGTTCATTTTTAATTTATAACGTTTTGTTTTCAGGTATGGAGAAAGCGGCGTTTAATGGAACGAGACAATTTTCATTTTCTTCTTTGAAAAATTGTGTAATCTACATCTATTGCTGTAATTAATCCATAAGACTAATAAAAATGTTTGAGTTGAAATTTATTCTATTCTAAACCTAAATTTTATATCTACAGTAAAACCTGTCTATGGCGACCACCAACGGTTCCTTCAAAAAGTGGTCTTTTAGGCAGGTGGTCGTCCAATACAGGTGGTGCTGTAATACCGTATTTCCGTGCGTATTTTGCGCACTTTTTAGCCATTTCTACTAAGCAAAACTCGAGGTGAGCAAAAATAAGCGAATTTTTTCAACGATATTGGTATTGTATTTTATTCTTATCGGATAACTCGATTTACAGGAACCGTCATCATATTATAAGACAGATTTAATACCAATATTTTAAAGATTAATACAATAGTCGCATTTTCTCGATTATAATGCACACTTTTTTTCCGACTTAATTAATTCGACTCGGTTCTTTTCGTTCGCTCCTCAGTTTCGTGTATTACGTCATCAATATACAAGCGCGTCCTATCTCTCCATCACTTTGATTTTGGTTTTCGTTAGTTTAATCTTATTTCAACTTTAAAAATACTGTATTTTTTAATATTTAATATTTTATTAATTAATTAAGTACAATAAGAAAAATTATTAATTAATAATAAAACGATTTTATTATTTTTTTCTCATTATACGATTTCATTACAATCGCGGAATCGAAAATGGAAGTAAAACTGATTTTTGCATTAATGCGTTTATTGTTTTTTGAATATTTTGCCTCCGAAAATTACTTGGATATTATTTTTCTAAAAATATCGTGGAAATAAGGTAGGTTGATACAGAAACTATTTATCGCACGTGTACTGTATATGAGCTTCAAAATAAATAAATAAAAATAGATTTTATCAAACGATGAGATCAGCCGATTAATTGTATCGTTTACAATATTTTACACTCCCAAGGAAAATACTATAGGTCTAGGGTAAAATAAAGTTTGTTTTCCCATAGTTAAATTTCGCCGCTAATTGCTGTTGTGATAACTTTAATACGATCTTCTAACGACAGCGCTTTGCATTTCTTTCATTTTTCGGACATTTTCCAACAAACTGAAATGAATTTCCTTTGTTGCTAGACTAATTTATTAACACCTGCACCTAATTTCGAGGGTGGAAGAAGTGCCCGGGATAGGTTCGAACGAGAGTTTAGACTAATTCATTATGTTAGGAGGTGGAAACGTTGTTGAGATGGGTTCTTACAATAGTTTAGACCAGCTACATTCGCGAAATTGGTCGCTTATTACAGGTGTTGTATGTTGTTTCGGACCAAAAATCGATGCCCGCGGTCGCGTTACACAGGTGGTCGTTTAATACAGGTAACTTATACGAAGGCTCTATGGATAAACTATTCCGTGCCAGAAATTTTTGCCCGTTTTGGCAGGTGCCCGTCGAATGCAGGTGGTCGCCTAAGCAGTTTTCACTGTAGTTAATAAACAGTGGATTTCGATGAAAATTCTTTGCCAATTTAAATGTTTTTGAAAAACCTTTCGCCCTTTTCTAATAGAAATACGCGATTTTATTCAAACTGTATTGTTTTCTTTGGCAGTGCCAATTGAAATTTTCATTATAATTGCAATTTCTTACATTATCTAATTAAAATATTAAGGTCGCTGTCTTTCTGACCATTTAAATTATACTACTGGAATCGCAATTACTTATAAGATCAATAAAAGTAAAGATATGAATTTCGAAAGTCCGAGTTTTAGAAAAATGGTAAATAATAAAACTACTTTGTAATTGTTTTACAGTTATTAGGCAAATTACTTTTGATTGTCTTCCTTTGATTTCTAAATCACTTTCTTTCTTCCGATTTTCTTGTGTCTTTTTTGTCATATCGGTGTGGTTCCTTGTCACATTTTTATTCTCAACGTATTAATTCTTGCCTTACTTTACTTTTTCGTTTAACTCGTAAGCTGATGTATTATTTGTTTATAGTTAAAGTTATAGAAATGAGAGGCAAATATGAAAGTTATCGCACGTTTTTTATTTGATAGTAAGAAAATAAAACAATAAGTGAGCAAAAAGCAATTAAAATAGATTGAAACAGAATAGATATTTTACAAGTAACTAGATTCTCGCATACTTCATTTAATTTATGGTTACTAAAGGCTAACATATTTGTGATGGGAAATCTCACTTTACAATAAAACCACTGTTTTATTTCGTAAATTTTAGTCTCGAGAGTCGTACAGTAAAACCATGTCAAATTGTTTATACTATTTAAAAATAAAAATAGTAATAGATCGTATGGATGCTCACAGTTTTAGTCTAAATGTCCTTAAATCTATCTATATCTATGTGTATATATCACAAACAAAATGTTTCGTCACCCGAAACCGAAATCGAAATGAACACTTTCCAAAGATATGCTTTAAATAGAGACTGAACTCTGCCTGCATGAAAAATAACCAAGTCTGACAACAAGTATTTTATTCATGCTCTTCGAAATATAGCTCTTTTTTGGTCCCCCAAATTTTAAAAGCACTCGAGTCAATAAATTTTAAATTATTAATTGCCATTTAATTTCTTTTTTCAACGAAACATGATATTTTAATCTTACCATTATCCTCGATTATTACACTGCGAGTAAAACAATAAATTCGTCAAAATCTAAATAAACAAAACAAATGGACAGATCAATTATCATTTATGTTTCCTTTTGATGTTAAAAGTTGTTTATTTATTGATTTGAATAACTCCAAGTTTCTGTGAATTCGAACTTTTATGATTTCTTTCACAGGAAAAGGTTCTTGCGAAAGAAATCATAAAGAACGGAAAATTCTGGCATTTTTTATACAGTAGTAACTTTATTTTGTTTTTTAGAGAATTTTTTACTATGTAATTTTACAGTATAAGTTTTGATGTTCTATTATATGTTTTTCAATTACTGCATTTATAATTTTTATTGAAAAATATAAATTACAGGAATTTTTAATAAGCGATTTATTATGAAATATAATATTGTATAATAAAACCGAAACTGATATTTTGTCTTTATATCAACGGTATTTGTCTTTAAATGCCGTTGTTAAAGAAACAATAATGTTAAATGGGCTTTGATGTCATCGGTATTTACGTAAACGTCAATTAATACGACATAACCACGAATAAAATTCGATGCTGAGATATATCAGAAACACTTTTTGATGAAAGAACAGAGGATAGAGATTGCACATCGTGTATAATCTGTTTAGTAAAAGACCAGAATTTTAGTATTCGTTAATATCGCGCTTTTTCTTTGTCTCCCGACAAGCGCGATATAACGAAGGGCTGTATTATCAAATAATTCGGTTTTAATTTCACTTTTAATTAATTAATTAATTTTGATTTTATTTTAAATTTTAGTTTTAGTTTCAATTTCGATTTTAGTATAAAGACCACAGTTTTAACTATTAGTTTGAGTTTTAATTAACTGGCTACATAGTTTGAATAAAGACAGCTTTCTTTATAAAACAAATATGCAACAACTTTATAAAAATCTGTATTGTGAACAATTTAATATTCTATATCCCGTGAAAAAACTTTTTCCGAAATATAATTTATTTTTGAATAGGCCGTATTTAAACTAATAAAAGCACATAATTGATCTGCACTACTGACTTTTCAAACTTGTTAATTATAAAACGATGACGCGGTGTTATTTATCAATAATTAAAAACCACACTGCCGTTGGCCAATTTTCGTCGATAGATTCAATATTAATGAAGAAAGATACTAAGTAATTCGTGATTCAAGTATTCTAAGTGATTCGTGTAGTTGATAAAGAACACATTAGAGAAAAACAGAAAGTATGGAATACAAGTAAGTCTTTTCTTTTTAAATCACAGAATAAATCGTGTAAGGACCTGCGCTTCGATATAGTCCATGTATGTAACTTGTTTGTTTGTTTAGTTGTGGCAACGCAACACTTGGGCGATCTGCCTAGGTGGGTTGCCTTTCGGGAGGTCTTTTTAATTACGGGAAACTGGTCCCTATTTAGGCGTTACAGACGTGGAGAAAACCCGGAAAACTCCACGTGGCCATCTCGTCAGAGCGAGGCGCGAACCCACGACCCAACTCAGTGTTCAGGGAACAAAGACCGCTTAGCCACTGGTGGGCGTGATTGATAAGTTAACTCACCGATAGGAGTTTACTGATATGTTTTTATGATAATTCTGTGTAGTTAACAGGAGTTTTGAAAAATCTATTAAAATATTTGATACATTTATTCTGCTCTCCCATCTTGTATTATTTATTTACAGACATCAATATTCAAGTACAAAGTAACCGATTCCAGCTTATTTCTACTTAAGAAGTAGTTAAATTATTAAGAGATTAGAGAATTAGGGATATAAATAAAATCCTGCTGAAAGAGCCGAAATTTTACTTACAAGTTAAACAAAAGTTTAACCGAACCAATCTCTAGCCGAGTACAATGGAAATTGATTTCTTCGTAATATTAGATGTAATAAAGACAGAAATTTTTCCAGTTCAATGAAAATGACTGAAAAGTTGTAAATTTTGGAAATTTCCGTGGACACCTGGTCTTAAAACGAATTAGTTAGAAAACAAATGACGGACAATCTACTTAGTATTAAATTTAACATATGTAGATTTTTACAGCTATGGTGAGAAACGTTTAAAATTTACAACAACCCTGTCGCGTCCTTTGAGATGTACTAGTGATACGACAAACGAGGCATTTGACATTGACCAGTATCGGCACTTTCAGGTTTTGCACTGCACACCTACCAGGACCGTCTCTGATTCCATCCATTAGCTACTGGTAGGGAGCTATTTGACTAAGTGGATTGTTTTAAGATTTAAAAAGTAAAGAATATTTATTAATGTTATTTTTATGTACGTTTCTTTACAAAGCTATATTTAATTATAATTTTCTTTAAAAGTATATTCATACAATTGAAGAATATTTTGTACAGGTATGTATATCCACCACACAAGTAAATTTGTATAATTTTAATTTTAATTTTAGCCCTTATATCGTGGCTAGCGATTCAGAATGTAATTGTGATATTAAAAATACATATAGATAAGTATACGTTTTTTTA